ATACATGCGGGTGGGGGTACATACATGCGGGTGGGGGTACATACATGCGGGTGGGGGTACATACATGGGGTGAGGGTACATACATGCGGGTGGGGGTACATGCATGGGGGTGGGGGTATATACATGCGGGTGGGGGTACATACATGCGGGTGGGGGTACATACATGCGGGTGGGGGTACATACATGGGGTGAGGGTACATACATGCGGGTGGGGGTACATGCATGGGGGTGGGGGTATATACATGCGGGTGGGGGTACATGCATGGGGGTGGGGTATATACATGCGGGTGGGGGTACATACATGCGGGTGGGGTATATACATGCGGGTGGGGTTACATGCATGGGGGTGGGGGTACATACATGCGGGTGGGGGGTACATACATGCGGGTGGGGGTACATACATGCGGGTGGGGGTACATGCATGGGGGTGGGGGGTACATACATGGGGTGAGGGTACATACATGCGGGTGGGGGTACATACATGGGGTGAGGGTACATACATGCGGGTGGGGGTACATACATGCGGGTGGGGGTACATACATGCGGGTGGGGGTACATACATGCGGGTGAGGGTACATACATGCGGGTGGGGGTACATACATGGGGGTGAGGGTATATACATGCGGGTGGGGGTACATACATGCGGGTGGGGGTACATACATGCGGGTGGGGGTACATGCATGGGGGTGGGGGTATATACATGCGGGTGGGGGTACATACATGCGGGTGGGGGTACATACATGCGGGTGGGGGTACATGCATGGGGGTGAGGGTACATACATGCGGGTGGGGGTACATGCATGGGGGTGGGGGTATATACATGCGGGTGGGGGTACATACATGGGGGTGGGGGTACATACATGCGGGTGGGGGTACATACATGGGGGTGGGGGTATATACATGCGGGTGGGGGTACATACATGCGGGTGGGGGTACATACATGCGGGTGGGGGTACATGCATGGGGGTGAGGGTATATACATGCGGGTGGGGGTACATACATGGGGGTGGGGGTACATACATGCGGGTGGGGGTACATGCATGGGGGTGGGGGTACATACATGGGGGTGGGGGTACATACATGGGGGTGAGGGTACATACATGCGGGTGGGGGTACATACATGCGGGTGGGGGTACATACATGGGGGTGGGGGTACATACATGCCGGTGGGGGTACATGCATGGGGGTGGGGGTATATACATGCGGGTGGGGGTACATGCATGGGGGTGGGGGTATATACATGCGGGTGAGGGTACATACATGGGGGTGGGGGTACATACATGCGGGTGGGGGTACATACATGGGGTGAGGGTACATACATGCGGGTGGGAATACATGCATGGGGGTGGGGGTATATACATGCGGGTGGGGGTACATACATGCGGGTGGGGGTACATACATGCGGGTGAGGGTACATACATGCGGGTGGGGGTACATGCATGGGGGTGGGGGTACATACATGCGGGTGGGGGTACATACATGCGGGTGGGGGTACATGCATGGGGGTGGGGGTATATACATGGGGTGAGGGTACATACATGCGGGTGGGGGTACATACATGGGGGTGGGGGTACATACATGCGGGTGGGGGTACATACATGCGGGTGGGGGTACATACATGCGGGTGGGGGTACATACATGCGGGTGAGGGTACATACATGCGGGTGGGGGTACATGCATGGGGGTGGGGGTACATACATGCGGGTGGGGGTACATACATGGGGTGAGGGTACATACATGCGGGTGGGGGTACATACATGGGGTGAGGGTACATACATGCGGGTGGGGGTACATACATGCGGGTGGGGGTACATACATGGGGGTGGGGGTACATACATGCGGGTGAGGGTACATACATGCGGGTGGGGGTACATACATGCGGGTGAGGGTACATACATGCGGGTGAGGGTACATACATGCGGGTGGGGGAGGGGAGGTTAAAATAAAATATTACATATCTTTTTAAAATGTATTTAATTTTGTTAACAATTATATAATAATTATTTTGTTTATCTAACATATATATATATATATATATATATATATATATATATATATGGAACTAAAGCCCGGGGGGTGGGGGTGAGGTAAATACTATTTCTCCCCCAACTATATGCAGCTAATGTATACACCACGCACCCTTACGCTTATAGCACCACAAGATAATGAAAGGACAACCACACATCCTATAATAAAGGCATAAATAATCTGACAACCATACACACCCTATCCTAAATAACCTGGGCTGGAGCTACTTATAAGGCGAATTAGGCGGTCGCCTAGGGCGCTATCCATAGGGGGGGGGTGTGCAAAAATGTGTCATCGCCATTATTAAAAGTAATAATTAATAACTTTATATTATATAAAATGGTGATATACAAAAGCGTAGCGATCTATTTCGGTGGATTGGACGAACTATCAATTTTGCAATCCCTCCACAAATTAGACCTATTTATAGTTATTCGCGTTGTTGAAAAGGTCGGGAAAAGGTCGGGGCGTTTATTACCACACACTTTGCCTTTTATTTTGGTGTCACACAATTTATGTAGAAAACAAATAAATAAGACCGTAATGCTAAGTAGCAGTCCACTTTCTTAATTTCGACTGTATATAAGTCAGTAATTAGCTTTTTATATTAGTAGCTGTCTATCTATTTATGTAATATTAGCGCCCCTTTGGGTCGGCGGCTGTAGCGGCCACTCCATCCGCCCTCCCTAGCCAGGCCTCTGTTAATATAATAAGATATTGTATTTATTAATGTAAATCTTTTAATTTCGAACATTTTATATGAATATGTATATATATATATATATATATATATATATATATATATATATATATATATATATATATATATATATATATATATATATATATATATATATATATATATATATATATATGGGGGGCCCGAAAAAAATTGCGGTGAGGGGCGTTGTAATAAGTTTTTGCCTAGGGCGCTAAATAACCTGGCGCCGGCCCTGCATATAACAAAAAATAAATATAAGATAAACCTTACACAATCCCCCATATAAAATAATAAAATGATACATTACACACCCTATCCCACATAACACAAAATAATGAAATGATAATTACACAACCTATCCCATATAAAACAAAATAATGCATTTCACACCCTTTCCCATATAAAACAACATAAAACTTCTCATACCACCCCCAAATATAAAGACAATCCCAGACTAAAGTTATCCTACTCAGACTAACATACTTACCTCCCCTGAGAAGAATTTTGTTTCTCGTATAGTTAAAAACAAAAGTTCTACTTTTTATAGGGTTAGCGTCACGGGAAGTGACGTTCTGCACCCTCATCCATGTTTGGGGAACATGTTTACATTTTAAAATGCGCTTACTTTTACTCATCCACATTATTTTCTTATTGATTGGTAAATACTTTCTTTTATCTACTGTGTGCATGACCGTCCCCCAGACCCCTCAAGTTTTTAGTCAGAGTAGGCTAAAAAGTACGAGAGAGCTGTTCTAGTCATCAATCAATCTCATAACCCCGGGGATTTGGGTGAGGGGAGGGGGGGGGGGTGGGGTGGGGTAATCGATTTTGACTTTTGATAATTTTTTTTGCCATCTTTCTAGCTCATCTGTAGCCACCCACTCAATTCCTTGATATCCTAAATCGAGTGTCGACAATGGCCTTTATCGCCCCCCCCCCCCCCACATGGCACACTACATGATTGTCTTGGACTGGCCATTTGATTGTGCCCCATGTCCAAACCATCTCAGCGCTGGTCACATACAAACTAAAACCTAACACTAAATTCACGCTACTCCTAAGCCGCGTCTAACGCTCGCTGTATAAATAAGTATAATATGTGCCGGGCATAATCAGCACTAGGGGGTGGGTTGGGGTGGAGTGGGGGTTGGTGGGCTTAACCCTCCCCCTCTCCCCAATTGTTTTATTTTTTTAAAGAGTTAACATCTTTACTTTATATGTTGTAAATTTTGTATGGTATATGTTGTTCAAGTCAAGAAACTGGCCGATTGTATGGATGTTTGCAGCTGGGGCTTCAGCTTTTGTTGTAGGCCTTCCATCTCACCAATATCCATCTTTTGATAAAACTTACCAGGTTTTGAGACTGCTATATACCATAGGCACCGGGTAACCCCAAAAGCGCACCTTTCAGGGATAACCCTGATTTTAGAAAGCTAGTAGGGAAATTCTAGTATCGTATCGTATATCCCCCTATCCTGGTGGTATTACTACCCAAATACAGCCAGGATCAGGGCTAAAGTTGAGGTTAAGTCAAGGATTAACCCTATCGGAAGTATGTAAAACAGGTGTTATTTTACCCAAGTTGGTAGACTCGGCGATTCTTTCTTAAAGGTGTACACAATGTAGTGTGTACAGCACAATGTAGTGTGTACAGCACAATGTAGTGTGTACAGCACAATGTAGTATGTACAGCACAATGTAGTGTGTACAGCACAATGTAGTGTGTACAGCACAATGTAGTGTGTACAGCACAATGTAGTATGTACAGCACAATGTAGTGTGTACAGCACAATGTAGTGTGTACAGCACAATGTAGTGTGTACATCACAATGTAGTGTGTACAGCACAATGTAGTGTGTACAGCACAATGTAGTGTGTACAGCACAATGTAGTATGTACAGCACAATGTAGTGTGTACAGCACAATGTAGTGTGTACAGCCATTGGCGTCACCAGGATGGGAGACACCGCGAGTGGTGACCCAGGGTGACACCGTCCCCGCCAACGCTTACATGGGATATATACTAAAACTATTAACAATCTGGTGTCACCCCTATCGTGAATGGTGTCGACCTGTTACTAATGATGTGTAGATGTTGAATAGGCTATTAAGCTAATCGGATAAAAGCAGCCGTTTTAATTAAAAAGGCTATATTTTGCTTTGGTGTCACCGGCCTTGTATGGTGACACCCGGTGCATTCCGCATCACCACTCACCCGCATGTGTACACCATGGTTTTCCTACTTTTGCAGATGGAACTAACAACCAGCAACAACCAGGTGGTGTAGGACAACCAGGTGCTGGACAACCAGGTGCTGGACAACCAGGTGCTGTAGTACAACCAGGTGCTGGACAACCTGGTGCTGTAGTACAACCAGGTGCTGGACAACCAGGTGCTGTAGTACAACCAGGTGCTGGACAACCAGGTGCTGGACAACCAGGTGCTGGACAACCAGGTGCTGGACAACCAGGTGCTGGACAACCAGGTGCCGTAGTACAACCAGGTGCTGGACAACCTGGTGCTGGACAACCAGGTGCTGGACAACCAGGTGCTGGACAACCAGGTGCTGGACAACCAGGTGCTGGACAACCAGGTGCTGGACAACCAGGTGCTGGACAACCTGGTGCTGGACAACCAGGTGCTGGACAACCAGGTGCTGGACAACCAGGTGCTGTAGTACAACCAGGTGCTGGACAACCAGGTGCTGGACAACAACCAGGTGCTGTAGTACAACCAGGTGCTGGACAACCTGGTGCTGGACAACCAGGTGCTGGACAACCAGGTGCTGGACAACCTGGTGCTGGACAACCAGGTGCTGGACAACCAGGTGCTGGACAACCAGGTGCTGGACAACCAGGTGCTGGACAACCAGGTGCTGGACAACCAGGTGCTGGACAACCTGGTGCTGGACAACCAGGTGCTGGACAACCAGGTGCTGGACAACCTGGTGCTGTAGTACAACCAGGTGCTGGACAACCAGGTGCTGGACAATCAGGTGCTGGACAACAACCAGGTGCTGGTGGACAACCAGCTGGAGGACAACCTGGTGCTGGACAACAACCAGGTGCTGGTGGACAACCAGCTGGAGGACAACCTGATGGTGGACAACAACCTGGTGCTGGAGGACAACCTGATGCTGTAGTACAGCCAGGTGCTGGGGGACAACCAGATGTACAGACTCCAGTCAAGGGTAAGGAGGATATAATGACTGTTAAAATGTGAATAAAACTACCATCCATCCCATGAACTATCATTACTCCCAACAGTCCAACAGACCATGATTCCAACACACCCATTGACCATGACTCCAACACTCCCATTGACCATCACTCCTATCACTCCCATTGACCATCACTCCAACAGTCCAACAGACCATGACTCCAACACACCCACAGACCATCACTCCAACACTCTAACACACCCACAGACCATCACTCCAACACACCCACAGACCATCACTCCAACACTCCAACACACCCACAGACCATGACTCCAACACTCCAACACACCCACAGACCATCACTCCAACACTCCAACACACCCACAGACCATGACTCCAACACACCCACAGACCATCACTCCAACACACCCACAGACCATCACTCCAACACTCCAACACACCCACAGACCATCACTCCAACACTCCAACACACCCACATACCATGACTCCAACACTTCCACAGACCATCACTCCAACACAACCACAGACCATGACTCCAACACTCCCTATAGACCATGACTCCAACACACCCACAGACCATGACTCCAACACACCCACAGACCATGACTCCAACACTCCCTATAGACCATCACTCCAACACACCCACAGACCATCACTCCAACACACCCACAGACCATGACTCCAACACTCCCATTGACTATGACTCCAACACTCCCACAGACCAAAACTCCAACACACCCACAGACCATGACTCCAACACTCCCACAGACCATCACTCCGACACACCCACAGACCATGACTCCAACACACCCACAGACCATCACTCCAACACTTCCACAGACCATGACTCCAACACTCTCTGGTCCCGTCATTTCTCTGACCACAGGTGAAAAGATTTTCACGTTTTTAACGGCCACGAAAAAGAAGCTTAAAGGTCACGTGCTGGTCACGTGGGACGTGCAGGACATCTACCTGGACGACAAGATCACCTACACGCTGGTCACAGAGTACTCACGCATCGGAGACTGTGCCACTGTGACCAGCCTAGACAGACAGGTGGGTAGAGTGACAGCCAGGTGGGTAGAGTGACAGACAGGTAGGTAGAGTGACAGACAGGTGGGTAGAGTGACCGACAGGTGGGTAGAGTGACAGACAGGTGGGTAGAGTGACAGACAGGTGGGTAGAGTGACAGACAGGTGGGTAGAGTGACAGACAGGTGGGTAGAGTGACAGACAGGTGTAGTGTGACTAACCTGGACAGACAGGTGTAGTGTGACTAACCTGGACAGACAGGTGTAGTGTGACTAACCTGGACATACAGGTGTAGTGTGACTAACCTGGACATACAGGTGTAGTGTGACTAACCCGGAGAGACAGGTGTAGTGTGACTAACCTGGACATACAGGTGTAGTGTGACTAACCTGGACATACAGGTGTAGTGTGACTAACCTGGACATACAGGTGTAGTGTGACTAACCTGGAGAGACAGGATTAGTGTGACTAACCTGGAGAGACAGGTGTAGAGTGACTAACCTGGACATACATGTGTAGTGTGACTAACCTGGAGAGACAGGATTAGTGTGACTAACCTGGAGAGACAGGTGTAGAGTGACTAACCTGGACATACATGTGTAGTGTGACTAACCTGGAGAGACAGGTGTAGTGTGACTAACCTAGAGAGACAGGTGTAGTGTGACTAACCTGGAGAGACAGGTGTAGTGTGACTAACCTGGAGAGACAGGTGTAGAGTGACTAACCTGGACATACAGGTGTAGTGTGACTAGCTCCATCTGACCAGCTCTGTACTCTGCTCTACATCTCCTCTGCTTGCCTTGATTGAATCAAATAGCTCGTGTTCTTTGGCTGGTCTTGATCCTGTGATCACAAGAACACATGAATATTTGGACCGTGTTTTTTTATTCGACTTGCCCCATCTTTAGACATCATAACACGGCGAATGTAGGGATTGTGTGGTCAGCACGTCCACCCGTCTTTCTTGTCCCATCTTTAGACATCAGAACACGGGGAATGTAGGGATTGTGTGGTCAGCACAATGTCCAGCCGTCTTTCTTGTCCCTTCTTTAGACATCATAACACGGCGAATGTAGGGATTGTGTGGTCAGCACAATGTCCAGCCGTCTTTCTTGTCCCTTCTTTAGACATCAGAACACGGCGAATGTAGGGATTGTGTGGTCAGCACAATGTCCAGCCGCCTTTCTTGTCCCATCTATAGACCAGAACACGGAGAATGTAGCGATTGTGTATAAGGATTCAGGAACGTGCCGAAAGAAGTCTAAAAGACCTGAAGTACATCTGAGCCATGTTTTCCAAATTCAACGAATTATATGGTATTCGAGTGCTACATCAGAGATCTTAAAGACAGATTGTGCCCGACTCATTCGCCAAACACCGAAGGTCTCGAGTTCAGATCCCTCACACCCAGAGTTTCTTCCAGGCATCTCTTCGGGTGGTGGGGGTGGTGGCAGAACCCCCCCCCCCCCTTGAAGAAAGTCTACCGCCCCCCCCCCCCCCCGAACGAGATGGAATTTATATAGTAAACATGCACTTTTACTATTTCCCCCCCCCCCCCCGATAAATGTTGACCGCCCTCCGAAAATCTTAAGTGCCCCCCCCCCCCCCGGAGAAAAAAGTCTGGACGAAACACTGCTCGCACCAGTCCAATTGACGTCTGTAATTAAAAGCTGCCGAGCATAGTGCTGATCACACTATCCTTTCATATACATTTTAGGAGATTCCTTTGGCGGAGAGAATTCGATCTTACGAGCTGGTTGGGATTCGAACCTGGTCCACTTTGTTTATCACGTTAAAGGGTGTGAGAGATGACAACACAGCTGATCAGATCACACAGACGGTTGTCACACATGAGACAGGTGAGTGGTGACACGTGAGTGGTGACACATGAGACAGGTGAGTGGTGACACACGAGACAGGTGAGTGGTGATACACGAGACAGGTGAGTGGTGACACGTGAGTAGTGACACATGAGAGAGATGAGGGGTGACAAACGAGACAGGTGAAGGGTGACTCATGAGACAGGTGAGGGGTGACACATGAGACAGGTGAGTGGTGACACATGAGACAGGTGAGGGGTAACACATGAGACAGGTGAAGTGGTGACACATGAGACAGGTTAGTGTTCACACATGAGACAGGTGAGGGGTGACACATGAGACAGGTGAGTGGTGACACATGAGACAGGTTAGTGGTGACACACGAGAAAGGTTAAGGGTGACACATGAGACAGGTGAGGGGCGACACACGAGACAGGTGAGGGGTGACACATGAGACAGGTGAGTGGTGACACATGAGACAGGTGAGTGGTGACACATGAGACAGGTGAGTGGTGACACATGAGACAGGTGAAGTGGTGACACATGAGACAGTTAGTGTTCACACATGAGACAGGTGAGGGGTGACACATGAGACAGGTTAGTGGTAATGATGAAGTCAGGTTAGCAAACAGGTACAACAGTTGCGATACCACATTTGAGAGTCGGGCGCCTATTATTCAATCAACGATCAATAAATGGAAACTGCAATGGTCAGGCAAGTATTGGTACATTGCAAATTAAAAAAATGCAAAAATATTGAGATATAAATATAAACAATGAATCACAGTTAGTTAATTAATCAACAAGTTGTAATGGTCATAATGTACCCCAAACAGAGAAATAAATCAGAGCAATAAAATACAATAAATTGTCACCAGTTCCGACCGGCAAAGTGACCGGAATAAAGCCGGTTTCCCTGCAGCCGGAAACAGCTCAGTTGACCTGGATGCCGCCGGCCTGTGAACAGAGGGGCGGGCTACTCACCCGGTATGACGTGGAGTATGGCACCTTGGCGAACCCCAGTAGGTGAGTACACTACATGACCTTGAGCCATACATCCTCCTGACCTGAGTACACTACGTGACCTTGAGTCGTACGCTACTTTCACTAATGTGATCCATATTCCAATCATAGCTGGGTGGACTCAGGGCCGTTCTAAGGACTAGTCCGGGATTCGAACTCGAGATCTTCGGGTTAGCTGTCGTGCTGTATTAACTTGGCCTTAATTCCGTATCCACTTACAGCTAATACTGTATCCATGTACACCTAATGCTGTATCCACTTGACCTAATGCTGTATCCACTTGACCTAATGCTGTATCCACGTAACCTAATGCTGTATCCACGTAACCTAATGCTGTATCCATGTACACCTAATGCTGTATCCATGTACACCTAATGCTGTATTCATGTACATATATATGCTGTATCCACTTACAGCTAATGTTGTATCCACTTGACCTAATGCTGTATCCACTTGACCTAATGCTGTATCCACTTGACCTAAAGCTGTATCCACCTTACCCAAAGCTGTATCCACGTATACCTAATGCTGTATCCACTTGACCTAATGCTGTATCCACTTGACCTAATGCTGTATCCACTTGACCGAATGCTGTATCCACTTGACCTAATGCTGTATCCACTTGACCTAATGCTGTATCCACTTGACCTAAAGCTGTATCCACTTGACCCAAAGCTGTATCCACGTATACCTAATGCTGTATCCACTTGACCTAATGCTGTATCCACTTGACCGAATGCTGTATCCACTTGACCTAATGCTGTATCCACGACCTAATGCTGTATCCACGTCCTCTGCCTAGCACTCTGCCTGTGACCACCAAAGTGGACTTTGTCCTGCTAACTGGCCTCACAGCCTACACCAAATACCACATCCGGGTCCGCTACGTCAACACTGAAGGTGAAGGCCCTTTCAGCGATTTCTTCGACTTTGACACCAGCCAAGGGCGTGAGTTGATTACATTCAAAATCCCCCCCCCCCCCCTGTAAACATTTTCCACTGGCCGTTCTATTTAGGCAAGTTGACATAGACAAAGATATTATTGAGGGCTAGTGTCTTAACTGTATGTGTACATTCTGTATTACATTCTGTCGCTTGTCTTTAACGTCTAGTGCTGTCCCTCTACTGTATGTGTACATTCTGTATGTGTACATTCTGTCGCTTGTCTTTAACGTCTAGTGCTGTCCCTCTACTGTATGTGTACATTCTGTATGTGTACATTCTGTCGCTTGTCTTTAACGTCTAGTGCTGTCCCTCTACTGTATGTGTACATTCTGTATGTGTACATTCTGTCGCTTGTCTTTAACGTCTAGTGCTGTCCCTCTACTGTATGTGTACATTCTGTATTACATTCTGTATTACATTCTGTCTCTTGTCTTTAACGTCTAGTGCTGTCCCTCTACTGTATGTGTACATTCTGTATTACATTCTGTCTCGTGTCTTTAACGTCTAGTGCTGTCCCTCTACTGTATGTGTACATTCTGTATTACATTCTGTCGCTTGTCTTTAACGTCTAGTGCTGTCCCTCTACTGTATGCGTACATTCTGTATTACATTCTGTCTCGTGTCTTTAACGTCTAGTGCTGTCCCTCTACTGTATGTGTACATTCTGTATTACATTCTGTCGCTTGTCTTTAACGTCTAGTGCTGTCCCTCTACTGTATGTGTACATTCTGTATTACATTATGTCTCTTGTCTTTAACGTCTAGTGCTGCCCCTCTTGTGCACGTGCGTTACTCACCCTCTCCCTCCGCAGCCGCCGGCCAGCCTATGGTGTACAACTTCACATACGACGACATCTCTGTTGGGATCATCATCGTGTCGCCCGTCTTGCCCAATGGTCAGATTGATGAGTATAACATCCAGGTGACGTGCTTGTGTATGTTTGTAGTGATGTTTGTGAGTATCGCGACCTTTTATCGTCCACCATAAGTGCACCACACGTCCACCACACGTCCACCACACGTCCACCACACCTCCACCACAGTTCCACCACCCTTCTACCACACGTCCACCACACTTCCACCACACGTCCACCACACGTCCACCACACGTCCACCACACCTCCATCACACGTCCACCACCACACTACCACCACACCACCACACGTCCACCGCACGTCCACCACACGTCCACCACCACACCTCTACCACACCCCTACCACACGTCCACCACCACACACCAACCACACGTCCACCACACGTCCACCACCACACACCCACCACCCGTCCACCACACGTCCACCACCACACACCCACCACACGTCCACCACACGTCCACCACACCTCCACCACCACACACCCACCACACGTCCACCACACGTCCACCACACGTCCACCACACGTCCACCACACATCCATCTCTGCCATGCCAACCAAACACCTGTCTGTCACCTTAGATCACAGGTGGCAAGTTCTCCATGGCGAATTTATTCACCGTGGTCAACGGGACGGATTACGTCATCGGCGGACTCACCCCGGACACGAGCTACTACATCAAGGTCAGTCGCCATTTTGTTTTACGTCATACAGGTTATAGGTCATGTGTGAGTGATGCACGTGAAGCAGGGGTTGAGTGCTAGAACACGCGCTTATCAAACCGAAAGTTGATTTCCGTTGCCTCCCACGCAGTGCAAGTATATATATATATATATATATATATATATATATATATATATATATATATATATATATATATATATATATATAGATATAGATATAGATATAGATATAGATATAGATATAGATATAGATATAGATATAGATATAGATATATAGATATATAGATATATAGATGTATAGATATATAGATGTATAGATGTATAGATGTATAGATGTATAGATATATAGATATATAGATAAATAGATATGTGAACCCTGCTGTGTCGACAGGTTCGAGCAAGGAACGGGGCCGGCTGGGGAGACTGGAGCAAACAGCTGTACGTGAGGACCAGGGGAGAGGTTCGGCCATCCGTGCTGGCCATGCGCCAGACGTTGGCCAACACAACTTGTATTGGGTTGCAGTGGGCGCCCCCTAGACAGAACATCGAGTCGGTCCATTCGTATGTGGTAGGTAGGGTGGGGGGGGGTGACAGGGCTGCAGTGGGTGCCCCCTAGACAGAACATCGAGTCGGTCCATTCGTATGTGGTAGGTAGGGTGTGGGGGGGGGGGGTGACAGGGCTGCAGTGGGCGCCCCCTAGACAGAACATCGAGTCGGTTCATTCGTATGTGGTAGGTAGGGTGGGGGGTGACAGGGCTGCAGTGGGCGCCCCCTAGACAGAACATTGAGTCGGTCCATTCGTATGTGGTAGGTAGGGTGGGGGGGGGTGATAGTGCTGCAGTGGGCGCCCCCTAGACAGAACATCGAGTCGGTCCATTCGTATGTGGTAGGTAGGGTAGGGGGGTGACAGGGCTGCAGTGGGCGCCCCCTAGACAGAACATCGAGTCGGTTCATTCGTATGTGGTAGGTAGGGTAGGGGGGTGGCAGGGCTGCAGTGGGCGCCCCATAGACAGAACATCGAGTCGGTTCATTCGTATGTGGTAGGTAGGGTGGGGGGTGACAGGGCTGCAGTGGGCGCCCCCTAGACAGAACATCGAGTCGGTCCATTCGTATGTGGTAGGTAGGGTGGGGGGGGGGTGGCAGGGCTGGTGACGTGAGCGGATATTGTGACAGGAGGGTAGTGGTTAGATATTGTGGCAGTTGGGTGAGTCCCTGGACATTATGATAGTAGGTTGAGTCACTGGTCATTGACAGGTGGGTGAGTCATTGGACATTGACAGGTGGGTGAGTCATTGGACATTGACAGGTGGGTGAGTCATTGGACATTGACAGGTGGGTGAGTCATTGGACATTATGATAGTAGGTTGAGTCACTGGTCATTGACAGGTGGGTGAGTCATTGGACATTGACAGGTGGGTGAGTCATTGGACATTGACAGGTGGGTGAGTCATTGGACATTGACAGGTGGGTGAGTCATTGGACATTGACAGGTGGGTGAGTCATTGGACATTGACAGGTGGGTGAGTCATTGGACATTGACAGGTGGGTGAGTCACTGGTCATTGACAGGTGGGTGAGTCATTGGACATTGACAGGTGGGTGAGTCATTGGACATTGACAGGTGGGTGAGTCATTGGACATTGACAGGTGGGTGAGTCACTGGTCATTGACAGGTGGGTGAGTCATTGGACATTGACAGGTGGGTGAGTCATTGGACATTGACAGGTGGGTGAGTCATTGGACATTGACAGGTGGGTAAGTCATTGACAGGTTGGTGAGTCAGGTGGGGGTGGATGAACATTGTCACGGTAGGGTGATGAGTGGACATTGTGACAAGAAATGTAGCGATGTGACAGTATGATTCCCACCAAATGCCCCCCCCCCCTCCCCAACCCCCGCCCTCTGTCCAGATCGACATGACCTACAACGACGACTTGAACAAGCCAATCAGGGCCGTGGTGGGCAAGTCCAACACTGAGCACGTGCAGTGCGGCCTTCACCCCTACACCCAGTACCTGGTCTCCCTGAGCATCATGAAGGACACTGGTCAGTTTGGCCAGCCGCTCTCTGCCCGCATGTGGACCGAGGGTTTGACCCCGCCCAAACCCCGAACCCCCATCATTGCGAAAGTAAGTCCCGCCTATTTGATGGTGTAATCTTGACTTATCCTTACCGTCTATTTGTGGATGTAATCGTTACTTATTAGTCCAGCCTATCAGTGGGTGTAATCTTGACTTATCCTTACCTTCTATTTGTGAGTGTAATCCTTTCTTATCCGTAACGCCTATTTGTATGGTCAGGTCAGTATATGCAGAAATAAAACATTTTCATTTATTTATAGCTAAATTTAAATAGTCAAAATAATTTTTTTAACACCGCAGTTTCTTCAGCTTAAAAAAAACAAACAACAAAAACAAACAAAAACAAAACAAAACAGCGATAATAGGTTGATGAAAAAGGCGCTTCTCTGTACCAAGTTGTAGAAAACATTAAACGCTGACACAAAAATCCACGAACACAACAAAGCTGCTTCCCACACTTATAACGAAGTGTCACGTGATTCCCGTAGTCCACAGCCACCACCATCACCGTTGAAATCTACCCGGTCATGTTCGACTATGGTCCAGTGACGTCATACGAGATACGTCTGTTACAGGTGTACCACAACCACTCGGACAAAAGCCCGCACACCTACGAGATCATCGTGAGTAGCCGCCATCACCTGTAGATAATTTTTGCTTTTTAAATGGTACCTAACCCAAATTTCAAATTATTTAGGCACTACTACATAACCATTCTCTGTAACTTTAAGCAAAACATATATATTAAGTTTACATTTATAATATAATACTATTTTGAATTTTTAACGTGTACATAACTCAGTTTTTTCCCCGTAAATAATATACATTTTAACCTGTACAAAACTCCATTTTAACATGCGTATAACCCAATTTTTAATCTGTATATAATTCAGTTCTAATCTGTACATAATATATTAAAACTGTTCATTTGTTCATTTATTTTATTTATTAATATCCCATTTCATTATTTCCCCTTGATGTTTCCCCTTGATGTTTCCCCTTGATTATTTCCCTTGAATTTTTACGAATGACTTTATCCCACTAACACCATTCCCAGTGTTTTTTTTTATTCTTGTTTTTCTATTTCTTCGACATTATATTGTGCTTAGTCTTCAAGGCTTTTTTCCATGTGTTTTTTTTTTTTGGATTTCTGTCTTTCGATTGTATCTATACATCCATCTCCTCTGCTCCAAAAATTCTCCGAGGTCATTGACCTGCTTCTCCATCTTTTCCCGCTAAGACTTGTCTGCTGAACTGCATTCCAAGCTGCTTCTAGATCAATCTCCTTGGTGCCTTTTTTCCCCCTCTGTTTTTGGTTTTGGTAATACGCATTTATTCCACGTGACCATGTGTCGTGGTACATGTAGTCATCTCTTGCTTGCTTACAATTCTCAGCGCTTGTCGGCTCAAATTGTGGACTGCTGGATTTTCCTCTACCAATATGTTCAATATCTTTTCAGACTAAAGACGACGACATCCCATTAATTTTTCTGATAATCGACCCCCCACCCCCTACTAAATACAACAACGTCGTCCTATTAATTTTTCTCATATACCCCCCCCCCCCAGACTAAAGACGATGACATCTCATTCATTTTTCTCAATATCTCCCCCACCCCCCAGACTAAATACAAGGTCATCCTATTAAATTTTTCTCATAATCTCCCCCACCCTCCAGACTAAATACAAGGTCATCCTATTAAATTTTTCTCATAATCTCCCATCCCCCCCAGACTAAAGACGATGACATCCCATTAATTTTTCTCATAATCTCCCCCCCCCCCAGACTAAAGACGATGAGATCCCATTAATATTTCTCATAATCTCCCCTCCCCACCCGCCCCAGACTATAGACGACAGCACATTAATTTTTCTCATAATCCCCCCTCCCCACCCGCCCCAGACTATAGACGACAGCACATTAATTTTTCTCATAATCCCCCCTCCCCACCCGCCCCAGACTATAGACGACAGCACATTAATTTTTCTCATAATCCCCCCTCCCCACCCGCCCCAGACTATAGACGACAGCACATTAATTTTTCTCATAATCCCCCCTCCCCACCCGCCCCAGACTATAGACGACAGCACATTAATTTTTCTCATAATCCCCCCTCCCCACCCGCCCCAGACTATAGACGACAGCACATTAATTTTTCTCATAATCCCCCCTCCCCACCCCCCCAGACTAAAGACGACGACATCCCATTAATTTTTCTCATAATCCCCCCTCCCCACCCGCCCCAGACTATAGACGACAGCACATTAATTTTTCTCATAATCCCCCCTCCCCACCCGCCCCAGACTATAGACGACAGCACATTAATTTTTCTCATAATCCCCCCTCCCCACCCCCCCAGACTAAAGACGACGACATCCCATTAATTTTTCTCATAATCTCCCCCCCCCCCAGACTAAAGACGACGACGTGCCATTAATTTTTCTCATAATCTCCCCCCCCCCAGACTAAAGACGACGACATCCCATTAATTTTTCTCATAATCTCCCCCCCCCCAGACTAAAGACGACGACGTGCCATTAATTTTTCTCATAATCTCCCCCCCCCCCAGACCAAGGACGACGACATCCCATTAATTTTTCTCATAATCTCCCCCCCCCCAGACTAAAGATGATGACATCCCATTAATTTTTCTCATAATCTCCCCCCCCCCCCCGACTAAATACAACATCTTCCTATTAATTTTTCTCATAATCTCCCCCCCCCCCCGACTAAATACAACATCTTCCTATTAATTTTTCTCATAATCTCCCCCCCCCCTGACTAAATACAACATCTTCCTATTAATTTTTCTCATAATCTCCCCCCCCCCCCTGACTAAATACAACATCTTCCTATTAATTTTTCTCATAATCTCCCCCCCCCCCCCCGACTAAATACAACATCTTCCTATTAATTTTTCTCATAATCTCCCCCCCCCTGACTAAATACAACATCTTCCTATTAATTTTTCTCATAATCTCCCCCCACCCCCCAGACTAAAGACGACGACGTGCCATTAAGCTTTCTGGACGAGCACCCTCCCAACCAGTCGCCGTTCGGCACGGGGGTGCTGGACAAGGGGACCGCGGGGCTGCCCAACACGGTGGACAAGCAGAACGGTCCACACATCAGGCCCGCCAATAAGGTCAGCTGTGCATTTTGTTTTTGTGTTTTGTTTTCAGATTGATTGGTTGTACCACGTGATAGAACAGAAACTTAGCAACCCGTTTCTTTCAGGCATCTCTCCGGGGGAGGGGGCAACGGCGCCCCGGAGCATGTCCACAGCCCCCCCCCCAACCTACTTACGAACGCAAGAGAAAAAAATAATTACATAGAAATGATAAACTTTAATCAGTGTCCGTCTCCTCTTCCTCCCTGAAATGTATAGTGCGCTTCCACCCCCCCCCCCCCCGCCCCTGGAAGAATCCTCTTTAGATAAATATTATCTGAAACAGACCCGTTTATGAAGTAGTTATAGAAATAATAAAAAAAATTAAAATTTGTTTTTGTGCATTATAAAGCTAGTTATTACATAATGTATTTTATTTGACGTCATATTCAGAGAGACATCGCCAGTACTAAGAAGGGCAGCACCAAGGGAAACAACTCCAGCCGCCTCCCGTTTATTGTCTCCCTTCCCCCGCCGGCAGACCGGCACTGCAGCGCCGTGACGTGGTTCAGACGGTGGAAGATGGCGTGCCGGCTGGGGATGAACGAGGACTGGGGGAGCATCTGTCTGGACGGCAGCCGCATCGACGCCATCTTCCGGAACATCTCCACGGTTACCAAGACGACCCCGGTCAAGAGGCAGGCGCGCCGGAGAAGATCTTTCGGGAACCCGCCGGGTGTCATGTGGATTGAGCTGCCCAATAAGGACGTCATGGAGGCCACGTAAGGGTCAGGACTGGACTGGATGCTCTGGTTCTGAGTTTCTTTTAGGCATTCCTTCGCAGCCCCCCCTCCCCCTCCAGCATGTCTAATGCTTTCCTCGCCGCACAAAATGAACAGTAAATATAACGCGTAGAGAATAGCATATTCAAGCGTCTGTGCCACCCCCCCCCCCACCTCGAAAATTAATTTTAATCCCCCTCCCCGACAAATTTCTGAAAGAAACTGTTCTGAATGTCCTTGCCTGATCCAAAATCTTGTTCATCTAACCGCACATAACACTGGCTGTTGCGGAATAAGGGGGGGGGGGGCTGGATGGGCTGGAGTCTTCCCAAACTTGTAACGTGCAATGTTTTTTTTTGGAGTTGGGACACATTCGTTACAGGATAGTTCTTGATGATAGTCATATTCACCATGTACAAAAAATTCAACATAATTTCAAATGTTTTATTTTTTGTTAGTTGATTTGGGTATCTGAGTGGCAGTGTAGTGTAAAAGTAATTCCATAAATGACGTCAAGCTTTTAAAATATTTTTTACCTACCCCCTCCTCTTCGTGACAAAACGTCATCATTAAAAGCCAGAGGCGTAGCGACCCTTCCCGGCGCCAGGGGACAAACTTTCGATTTGCAATTTGCACACCCCCCCCCCCCCCTCGAACTTTTGATTTGCACCCCCCCCCCCTCAAACATTCGATTTGCACCCTCCTCAAAATTTCAGTTTGTTTTTCCAACCCATTTTTGTAGTGTAATAATATCTTGCAGCCAATGGCAGTGTCTATGGGTGGGTGGGGGGTCTAATATAATTTGTTACCGTTAACAAGGATGAACAAAATAAGATTATTCAGAGTTTTCTCGTGTAGTATTTTCACGCTGAATTTAAACGTCGTAAATAACACACATTCAGAACGCTTCTGCAAGACTTTGCGATACCTAAGATTATCTTAACGCTTTTTGTTTGTGTGACTATTATCTTTCCTGGTGACAACTAGTTACCTTTTCAGTGTCATTTTTTCCTATGACTTGTGTCATTTTCCTATGACTTATGTCATTTTTTTCTGTGGTTTCTCTCTACTATGCCAATTTTAAATGACTTTCTCTTCTTCCTCGTACTTAAATTTAATGTTGGAAGAGATTCCCTCTAAGAAAAGTAAGTATTAAGTGTCAACTTGTTGTTCGTTATAAAGGCCGTTGACTCCGATTTCAGCCTGCTTTTCTTTTCGGATTTGCTTCCTTAGCCGTTGTCCATTTAAGAACAAACTACAAAGGCAGCAGTTGTTTGATTTTTGGAGTTTAGTGGCTGTCCTCAGCTATCGAGCCCTCATCTGCCCGGGGGAGGGGGTCTTTTCTCTCCATTTTGCTGTTTGACCATGTCCGCCTCCCCCCCCCGCCCACTACAGGTACGTGGAGATCGGCGACGGGAGGAACTACTACGGCAAGATCAACACACCCCTGGAGCCGGACAGTGAGTACGCCGTCGTGCACGTGGTCAAGAGCTCCGTGGTGGACATCACCAAACACGCCTACTCGCTGGCCAAGACGACGGTGTTCACGCAGGCGGTGGAGGTGGGTGTTGGGGGGGGGGGTGGTTACAATTTGCAGATGTTGCTGTTGTGGGTGGTTACATTGGGTGGTTGGGGGTGGTTACAGTGGGTGGTTACAGTGGGTGGTTGGGGGTAGTTACATTGGGTGGTTACAGTGGGTGGTTACAGTAGGTGGTTGCGGGTGGTTAGTGGGTGGTTACAGTGGGTGGTAGGGGGTAGTTACATTGGGCGGTTACAGTGGGTGGTAGGGGGTAGTTACATTGGGTGGTTACAGTGGGTGGTTACAGTGGGTGGTTTGGGGTAGTTACATTGGGTGGTTACAGTGGGTGGTTACAGTAGGTGGTTGTGGGTGGTTACAGTGGGTGGTTACAGTGGGTGGTAGGGGGTAGTTACATTGGGCGGTTACAGTGGGTGGTTGGGGGTAGTTACAGTGGGTGGTTACAGTGGGTGGTTTGGGGTAGTTACATTGGGTGGTTACAGTGGGTGGTTTGGGGTAGTTACATTGGGTGGTTACAGTGGGTGGTTGGTGTGGTTACAGTGGGTGGTTGGGCGTGGTTGTTGGGGTTGGTTACTGTAGGTGGTTGAGGACGGTTACCGTGGGTGGTTGGGGTGGTTACAGTGGGTGGTTGGGGCGGTTACCGTGGGTGGTTTGGGGTAGTTACATTGGGTGGTTGGGGGTGGTTACAGTGGGTGGTTGGGGTGGTTACAGTGGGTGGTTGGTGTGGTTACAGTGGGTGGTTGGGGGTGGTTACAGTGGGTGGTTGGGGGTGGTTACAGTGGGTGGTTGGGGGTGGTTACAGTGGGTGGTTGGGGTGGTTACAGTGGGTGGTTGGGGGTGGTTACAGTGGGTGGTTGGGGGTGGTTACAGTGGGTGGTTGGGGTGGTTACAGTGGGTGGTTGGGGGTGGTTACATTGGGTGGTTGGGGGTGGTTACAGTGAATGGTTACAGTGGGCAGAGGTAGTTGCCATCTCTTGTAGCAAGGGTTTCATCTATAAGGATGATCCACACATTTTACAATCGTGTTATATTGTATTGTATAACTTAGAGGAATGTTATAAACGCTAATTTTTGTTTCGCTCCACTTCTTGCGTCTGACGTATGCTACATCGAACAGTTGAACAAACTGCAATAAATTGCTTTGTGGTTTTTACTTTCTCGTATATACGAAGTATAGAGAAAGTCTTGTAATCGTGCAAAAAAAAAAAATCGAGATTTTTACAAATCTCGACGTTTCACACCTCACTGATACGGAAAAACATAATTTTGCAATCTTGTCCGTATGTCTGTGTGTCTGTCTGTGTGTCTGTGTGTCTGTGTGTCTGTCTGTCCGTGTGTAAACACGATAACTTGAGTACCGTTACAGCTAGGTTGATGAAATTTCATATATAAGTATTTAATCAAAATCGTAGATCCGTATCAACTTTTGAGCGATTTCCGATAACCGGAAGTGGTACTTTTCCTACTTTGAATTTTTCAAAAGCCTATAACTTGAGTACTATTTCAGATAGATAAATGAAATTTCATATGTAAGTAAAAGATCTAATTCTCTACCTTCTATTAAATTTTGAGTAATTTCCGTTGACCGGAAGTAGTACTTTACGCTACTTCCGATTTCTCAAAAAACTAATGTAAATTTTAAAAGTACTAATAATATTGCGCACCATTATGCGCTTTTTTATTTGGCGTTCACTTGGTGTGCAATTAATTTGTCTACGAGATTTTATTCTATTTTTAAAACTTTAAGTATTTAAAATGGATTAAAAATCATGTCTATAGCCCGAGTTCCCATCCCCTGTTATTTTATATAAGAATATTCGAGAAAGTTTAGGGGAGATCACTCCCGGTTTATTTAAAATGATTTTTATTTAAATTTATAATAAAGCTAGCTGTTTTTGTTGTAATAAAATGAGAGGTGTTGGCTTATGGAAAATTTGGGATGACGTTTTGTGTGGTAGGATAAAAATATATCCCGTTTTGTGTTAACTAACATGTGCTTGATCCCTTCAAACATATACATCTTTTACCCGAGTTTAAGCGCCGCTTCCCTTTAATTAAAACCTTACCCTAATTCAGAGGGTGGCACTAACTTAGTCTCACCAGAAATCTTGTCTCACCATTAGCCTTGTATCACCACTGATGTATAACTGGCACAAATTCCCCAACCACCATGTGTCACCACCATGTGTCACCACAATGTGTCACCACCATGCGTTACCACTATGTATCACCACCATATGTCACCACCGTGTGTCACCACCGTGTGTCACCACCATGTATCACCACCATGTGTCACCACCATGTGTCACCACCATGTGTCACCATAATGTGTCACCACAGTGTCACCAGCTTGTGTCACCACCATGTGTCACCACCATGCGTCACCACCATGCGTCACCACCATACTTCACCACCGTGTGTCACCACCATGTGTCACCACCGTGTGTCACCACCGTGTGTCACCACCATGTGTCACCACCGTGTGTCACCACCATGTGTCACCACCGTGTGTCACCACCGTGTGTCACCACCATGTGTCACCACCATGTGTCACCACCACGTGTCACCACCATGTGTCACAACAGTGTGTCACCGCCATGTGTCACCACCATGTCACCACCATGTGTCACCACCATGTGTCAGAGCCATGTGTCACCACCTCTTCTATTTAATGTAGGAACCCTCGTTAACCGACAAAGACCGGCTCTTGATCATCAGTGTTGTGGCGCCCGTCTGTCTCCTCTTGTTTTTTATCCTGGGGTTCTTTGTGATCAGGTACGTCACTGTTTTAATTAATTGTGATCAGGTACGTCACTGTTTTGATTGTGATCAGGTACGTCACTGTTTTAATTAATTGTTAGCAGGTACGTCACTGTTTTTAATTAATTGGTATCTGGTGCGTCACTGTTTTAATTAATTGTGATCAGGTACGTCACTGTTTTAGTTAATTGTTATCAGGTACGTCACTGTTTTAATTAATTGTTAGCAGGTACGTCACTGTTTTTAATTAATTGTTATCTGGTGCGTCACTGTTTTAATTAATTGTGATCAGGTACGTCACTGTTTTAGTTAATTGTTATCAGGTACGTCACTGTTTTAATTAATTGTTATCAGGTACTTCACTGTTTTAATTAATTGTGATCAGGTACGTCACGGTTTTAATTAATTGTTAGCAGGTACGTCACTGTTTTTAATTAATTGTTATCTGGTGCGTCACTGTTTTAATTAATTGTGATCAGGTACGTCACTGTTTTAGTTAATTGTTATCAGGTACGTCACTGTTTTAATTAATTGTTATCAGGTAAGTCACTGTTTTAATTAATTGTTATCAAGTAAGTCACTGTTTTAATTAATTGTTATCAGGTACGTCACTGTTTTAATTAATTGTTATCAGGTAAGTCACTGTTTTAATTAATTATTATCAGGTACGTCACTGTTTTAATTAATTGTTATCAGGTACGTCTCTATTTTAATTAATTGTTATCAGGTACGTCACTGTTTTAATTAATTGTTATCAGGTAAGTCACTGTTTTAATTAATTGTTATCAGGTACGTCACTGTTTTAATTAATTTTTACCAGGTACGTCACTGTTTTAATTAATTTTTACCAGGTACGTCACTGTTTTAATTAATTGTTATCAGGTAAGTCACTGTTTTAATTAATTGTTATCAGGTACGTCACTGTTTTAATTAATTTTTACCAGGTACGTCACTGTTTTAATTAATTGTTATCAGGTACGTCACTGTTTTAATTAATTGTTATCAGGTAATTCACTGTTTTAATTAATTATCAGGTACGTCACTGTTTTAATTAATTTTTATCAGATTGCTAACCTATCTTATTTAATTGTTACAGGTACATTATATATCTTAATTGTTTTTTTATAGGTAACCTATCTTAATTAATTGATGCCAAGTAGGTTATCTATCTTAAATAATTGTAATAAGGTAGTGACCTATTTTAATTAATTGTAGCCAGATACGTCACTATCTTAATTAGTTGTTACCAGGTCCGTCTCCTATTTTAATTAATTATTAATAAAAAAATCATAGACACTGGTACAGATCTTGCTTGAGGTTCTAGTCTGGCCAGATGTTTTCTATTACAGGCACCTGTAGCCAGATGTTTTCTATTACAGGCACCTGTAGCCAGATGTTTTCTATTACAGGCACCTGTAGCCAGATGTTTTCTATTACAAGCACCTGTAGCCAGATGTTTTCTATCTTAGGCACCTGTAGCCAGATGTTTTCTATTACAGGCACCTGTAGCCAGATGTTTTCTATCTTAGGCACCTGTAGCCAGATGTTTTCTATTACAGGCACCTGTAGCCAGATGTTTTCTATCTTAGGCACCTGTAGCCAGATGTTTTCTATTACAGGCACCTGTAGCCAGATGTTTTCTATTACAGGCACCTGTAGCCAGATGTTTTCAATTACAAGCACCTGTAGCCAGATGTTTTCTATTACAGGCACATGTAGTCAGATGTTTTCTATTACAGGCACCTGTAGCCAGATGTTTTCTATTACAGGCACATGTAGTCAGATGTTTTCTATTACAGGCACCTGTAGCCAGATGTTTTCTATTACAAGCACCTGTAGCCAGATGTTTTCTATTACAGGCACCTGTAGCCAGATGTTTTCTATTACAAGCACCTGTAGCCAGATGTTTTCTATTACAGGCACCTGTAGCCAGATGTTTTCTATTACAGGCACATGTAGTCAGATGTTTTCTATTACAGGCACCTGTAGCTAGATGTTTTCTATTACAGGCACCTGTAGCCAGATGTTTTCTATTACATGCACCTGTAGCCAGATGTTTTCTATTACAGGCACCTGATGAACAGGTCGAAGGAAGAGCAGAAGGTCTCTAAAGCTAACACAGAGGCCAGCGACGAAAAAGATAACGAAGACGAGGAGGACGATGACGACTCTAACGATGATTATGACATGCCCCTGCATGTAAGTGATACCTGTCTGTTGCCATAACGACCACACCTGATCACGACCACACCTGTATGAACAAGACCACACCTGTCTAATCTCGACCACACCTGAACACGACCACACCTGTATTACATAACAAAACTTAGGATCAAACAGAAAGTCGACAAGGTTCAAAGGCTGTCATTGACACAAAACGTCAACAACACCAAATATGTTCGGACAATGCCTTCTGAGGAGAGGCCGACCAGAGAATAGTCTACGGCAAAATGTGCCTAAATTTCTTTTATAATTAACTTTTCTACCGCGTATTTAACTAAATACATAACAAAAGTTGAGATTGTTGTGTTAATTATCTAAGAGTATTTTTACTTACAATTGTTATAAATCATAATGCTTTTAAGGTCTATTAATAATTTATGCTATCAAAAAATACAACCCACAACAATAAACATACACAATTTTACAATTCTTAACAAATTAATAAAAATATTTCTAAAAAGATTTTTGTGACTTTTTTTCTGTGACTTTATTTCTGTGACTTTTTTTCCGATAAAATTTCCACTGTGACTTTTTTTCTGTGACTTTTTTTCCTAGCAAAAACTGTGACTTTTTTTCTGTGTTTTTTTTCCTGTGACTTTTTTCCGTTCACCTAATCTCGACCACACCTAATCACGACCACACCTAATCTCGACCACACCTGATCACGACCACACCTGTATGTTCTCGACCACACCTGACCACGACCTATAATCTTGTCCTCTGAATCCTCAGATTGCCGAGTCTGCCGAAAAGAATGTCCCCCGAATGGACAATAAACTTGAGCAATACTTTAACCCTACAAACGCCATAGGGGAGCCGAGGTAAAGAAATATTTTTTTTCATCCAATACTTTAACCCTACAAACGCCATAGGGGAGCCGAGGTAAAGAAATATTTTTATTTCATCCAATACTTTAACCCTACAAACGCCATAGTGGAGCCGAGGTAAAGAAATATTTTTATTTCATCCAATACTTTAACCCTACAAACGCCATAGGGGAGCCGAGGTAAAGAAATATTTTTATTTCATCCAATACTTTAACCCTACAAACGCCATAGGGATAGCCGAGGTAAAAAAAATCTAAGTTTTAAATATTTAGGGTTAGGATTAGGATTGTATATATGACAAAGTGGGGGGGGGGGGGTATTTTTGTATTAGGAGTCTGAGGTTCATATATTCAAGGTTGCAGGGCAGAGGTTATATAAACCTATTTTTTTTAGGGTTGTCTGTCAGATGGAGATGGGGGAGGGGGGGGGGTAACTTAACGGAGACACATTGCTAATCTTTGCCTAGAACTACAATGATGTTTTTACAACAGGTACATCACCTCAATGCGAGACAACATCCTGTACGACGACAGCCACAACAACACCGGCGGCGGCAACAACGACGGCAACAACAGCGCCGTCTGGCCGCGGCGTCATCAACACGACCGGCGCCATCTTGGAATGACGTCATACGAAGACTGCGTGCCGGGTCACGTGACGAGCGAGACCCGCCCACATTTAGACACCGATACCCACAACACCGTGGTCAGTATCGATACTGGGGACTCGAGCGATGAGTGCGACGAGGAATCGATTTCCATCGACAATTTAAAATCCCCAGAACAAAAAACCACTCCACAATCTGGTATCGGAACACAGATATATGTATTCGGTTCTGACCAGATCAAAAGCAAAGCTGACCTACGAGAGAGTAAAAAGAAAAACAAGGATGACGATACCAGTCATCCTTTTAACATCAACAACAGCAACTACAACAATCTCAATGGTTGCAAGAATCAAGTTTTCCTTGAAGAGAAGGAGAGCAACATTAATCAAAATCAGAATAACAACACGCAACATTTCAACAGCGCTGGTCTGGAGACGAAGACGCTGTGTCATTTTCTTGTAGAGAAGTCAGGGGCCTTTTGTAAAACAACTTCGTTCCCGGAGGTAAAAATTGACCAACATGTCTTTGATATAACTGATATGAACTGGGAATTTGGCGAGGGCAACATTGCAGTGACAGAAAACAAGGTGCTAGAGGTGGGGAGAGAAAACAGACAGCAGGCTGGCACTGTCGAAGTAATGGCGAGCTCGAAAGATGGGATTGATCTTAAAACCGGAAGTGACGTAGAGCAGATGGATACCGGATCTGACGAAGACAATGTTTCTGGGTGTTCCACGTTGGATATTGAGTGTATCCACCTTGACCAGGTCCAGCCTGAGCTGGCTAAATGCGCCTGCGGTGGGTTACCGGATGCGTTTTGCGCGTTTTCAGACAGCCGGCGATTTAGATTCGGACATCGGAATACTTGGCCTGAGACGCTAGGACCGGAGGATTCATTGACGGGGTCAAATTATGTAGGACAAGGACATTTTCCAATTTCAGAGCATGCAGGACATCATCCAACTTGGCCAGAACGTCTATCTGTAGGACTAGGACATATGTCATCAAGACATTCAGGACGTGTGAGTGCGCAGGTAACAGGACATTCAACAGCTCACCTTCCGTTAGACCCGCCAGTCAGTTTCGCTGTTCTGGAACAGTCTCCAACCAAAGATAACTCTTCTACCTGCATGACCTCTGACCCCAGCCAACGCTTCTCCGTGGGTTTAGAGCACCAAGCACCAGAAATAGACGCCGGAGATCTTGCCGTAGCAGGCTCAAACACTGTAGGGGCCTGTGGTCAAAACAACTTGTCCTCCTCTACTGAAGCAAGTCGGTCTTTGTCTGAAGTAGACAGACATGGGCGTGGAAGTCAGACTCTGAGAACTAAACGTAGACCAAGCTACAGACAGAAAGACCGTAAAGACCTTTTGAAGCGTGATCGTGACTGTTACCATAGTAACAGGGACAAATTATTAAAGAAAACTTTACCTGTCGGTATTCAGCAAGGGGCTACAGAAGTAAGCAGTGCTAGTCCACCGAACAGACTATCTTATCGCAAACACGACGTTGCGAAAATGGAAACTATTACAGAAATAGGTAGTGGTGGTAGATATTGCGTTGTAGGGCCTGAAACAGACGACTACCAACAACCAGAGTTGAGCGAGGCTGGTGTTGAAGTCAGTAGACAAAATCTTACGGAACAGGAGACTGTAAATAGCGATAATGTTCCCCATCTATACCGCGGTCATGGTACCTGTTGCCGTGAGGTGACTTGCTGCCCTGAGGGGGGCTGCCAGCGCGTCGATGCTGAGCTCAACACGAACAACAGCGGCTGCTTCAAATGCTGCTGTGCCAGCGACAGCGACGACACCCACAACGAAAGAGTCTTCATCCAAAACCTGCCCCGGTCGACGGAGAACGTCCAGAGCTCGAAGAAGGTCGTATCCCAGCAGGACTTCGAGCGCGTCAGCTTCTCCAAGTACTCGGGCATCAAGGACCACGTCAACGACGAGAACAACAGCTGCGACTCGGCCGAGGGCGACAGCGCGAGAAAGACGTTCAGGGACCAGAACCTGAGCGGCTCGAGCTCCAACGAGAGACTGGGCTCGCTCGGTGTCTTAGACAAGATGGAGGAGAGCTTGTCGGCTGACGGTGACGTCACGTGTAAACGTCATGACGTCAACACGAACGAGAGCCGCGGGGGTGGTGGAGGGGTGACGAGCCCAGACAACCCGGATGTTAAAGAAAAGTCGCCATCTATCGGAGGAAAGGAAGTCTCTTTTAAAAAAGATACATTCACTGAAAATAGCTTGCCTCGAAAGGTGAAACGCTTTAGGAAATCTGTGAAGAAAAAAAAAGCAATCGATAGTAAAAATGAATGCAATAAAAGTAGCAATAAGCCGGAGACAGATTTCGTGAAACCGGAAACCGTGAACAGAGAGTCAGACAGTAGTTCGGACGATAGCGAGCCCGCCGATAGCGAGTCGTCGGAAAGCAGCTCAGAAGAAGATGCGAACAAAAGCGAGTCGGAGGAAAGTAAATCGCCCGAAAGCAGCTCCACGTCCAGCGAGTCGGAAGACGACGACGACGAAGAAAAAAAACCGGAAAAAGAGAGTTTGAAACCGGTTGATCCGGCCTTGGACCCGATGATGAACCCGATGTTTTTCCCCGGGCCGCCGTTCTGGCCACCGATGAACCCCCCGATGGTCCCAGCCCCGCAGCCGCCCCCTCGCAAGAAGGGGTGGCTCGACTGGTGCCCTTTCAAGAAGCGGAAGAAACAGTTCCCCCCGCAGATGGCGCCGCAAAAAGCCGACTCCGAACACTCCGTCAGGTCACCAAGACACTACCGACCCCCACACCAGCCAGTCTACCCCCCGGTGGTAGCCCCCCACGTGCAGACCAGCCCCTACCTCTTCCCCGCCTTCCCCAACCCTTACATCGGCCAGTGGCAGGGTCCCGTGGGGTACCCCTGCCGGTACCCCGCCTCTATGAACATCAACACCTCCAAAAACAGACCCAAGAAGAGAAAGAAAAGACAAAGAAGTACGTTGCTTTGGACACTAAAACATCCGTATAATTTCTTAGGATATTTCCGGGGTTTTAATGGAAAATCTCTGCTACAATTCTGCCTTACTCCGTCTGTTTAACACTATTATCTGCTACACATTTTTGTCTTAACACTCGCTTTATTTAACTGCTCCTACCCGCGCCTTGTCTTTCTCTCCACCTACCTGTCCCTCTACCGTTTACCTTCTCCGGTGCCCCCCCCCCCTCCTGTCTGCCTTGTCTATCTCTATATCTATCTACCCCTCTACCATCTGACATCTATGGCTGCCCCCCCCCTTCTCCCGCTATGGATACTCTCTGCCTGATCGCGTTCCTCTTTCTCCCTACTGCGTCTCTGTAACGTAATCACTTCCTCCTATTCCCCCCCCCCTATTTTCCCGACGAGCTGCTGGACGCTAAACTTATTAAACAACTTTTGTCTAGGACAGACTGTCAGCTTCCGGGACGAGTTTCTCAACCTGGAGCGTCACAAGAAGAAACTTCTGGAGACGCTTAAGTTTACCTTCGCTCTCAGGAACCCGGACAAGAACAGGTCAGGGCATGACGCATTTAAATTAAAGCTGACCGGAAAGATGCGCAACGGAAAACTGCGCAAGAGAAAATTTTAGTGCGCAAGGGAATTTTTGTTTTCTTATTCGAGCATTTATAGACATTAACAAAGATAACTACATATGTATTGCATCATAATGACACATATTTCCACGAAATATTACACAATTTAAGTATATAAGATTAATTATTTTGAATTTTGCGCATTTTTTTGTTAGCGCATTTTTCCGTTGCGCAATTTTCCGATTGCGCATTTTTCCGGAAACCAAATTAAAATATATAACAAATAGTTTAGCACGCTAACCTGGATAGCGAGTGGGTTGTCCCCCTTGATACACCCGTACACCAGTCGTCTCCCTTTGCAGGTTCCCTTACATTCTCCCGCCCGATCACACCCGGGTTATTATCGAGATGATGACGCCGGGCGATACCGACTACTACAACGCCAGCTACATCGACGTGGACTCGGACATCTTGTACATCGCTGCCCAGAGTCCATTCTCTCCGGCCACTGTGGGCGACTTCTGGAGGATGATCTTACAGAACAGGTAACCGGCACACGTAACCGGAACACGTAACACAGGTAACCGGCATACGTAACACAGGTAGCCGGCAGTTGTAACACAGGTAACCGGCACACGTAACACAGGTAACCGGCATACGTAACACAGGTAGCCGGCATTTGTAACACAGGTAGCCGGCAGTTGCAACACAGGTAACCGGCACACGTAACACAGGTAACCGGCATACGTAACACAGGTAGCCGGCATTTGTAACACAGGTAGCCGGCAGTTGCAACACAGGTAACCGGCATTTGTAACACAGGTAACCGGCACAAGTAACACAGGTAGCCGGCAGTTGTAACACAGGTAACGGGCAGTCGTAACACAGGTAACCGGCATAGGTAACATAACCGTCAGTTGTAACACTGCAGTTTTAAGGGGTCAGTAGACTGAACAGTGACTTCATTTTAGGGTGATGGCGGTCTTTCTTTTTGTGACACTTGGGGGATTGGAGGGCGGACGAAATGGTATTAAAAAGATTGGATGAGACTTTGCTCCAGTATGAGACAACGGCTGGAAGTAAATCGGGTTACTCCAGAACGACCTTGACCTCATTAACTTCTTATTATTTTGTTCTCATGAACTTGTCGGCAGGGTGGAGACGATAGTCATGTTGTGCGCATGCGTGGAGGGCGGCATCATCAAGTGTGAGCAATACTGGGCCGACTCGGGAGTCTTTGCGGGCGGGTCGGTGTTGGTGGAGACCATCAACCAGTCCTGGTATGCCGAGTTTGTCGTCAGGTCAGTGACCGGAAGTCGGACATTTACAATTTTTTTTTTACTGTCAGTTATTTTCAAATAAAATATCTATTTTGGTCTGTTTCAAGAATATTGACATTCATCTTTATTCTGGTCTTTCTCTCACCTATGTTTGACGTTATGTTATTTTGGTTTGTATATCAAAAATATTTTGGCCTTTTTTTCCAAAAATACTGGCCATTATTTTTGTGTCTGTTGCTCAATATTTCTGGCCTTTGTTTTGGGCACTTTTCTTCATAATATTTGCCTCATTTTATTTTTGCCTGTTTCTCCAGAATATTGTCATCTAATTTTTTTGGGGTCTGTTTTCTAGATAATATTGACTTATTTTTATTTTGGCCATTTTTTCTAGATTATTTTGGCCTTAAATTTTATTTTGGCAATTTTATTTTTCTGAATAACTTTGTCCTGTATATTTTATTTTGCCCTGTCTCCCCAGGACGTTGAAACTCAGTGCCTCCAACGTCTGTGAGTCCTACGTGACCCAGTTCCAGTTCTTCACCTGGCCCCTGGACGGGATGCCGTTTGACTGTTTCCCGCTCCTGGAGCTGCGGTACAAGGTCCGGCGTTTCTATGGCAACCGGAACACGCCCATCGTGGTGCACTGTGGGACGGGCGTGGCGCGGACTGCGGTCTACATCGCCGTGGACCTGTTGATAGAGCAGTACGGCAACGTTGGGGAGGTGAGGTGGGGACTGTGGGGTGAGTGTGGTAGGGGGTGTGAGGTGGGTGGGTGTGAGGTGCGTATGTGAGGTGGGCGTATAAGGTGTGTGTGGTGGGGTGAGTGTGGAAAGGGGTGTGAGGTGGGTGTGAGGTGCGTGTGTGAGGTAGTGGTATAAGGTTGTGTTTGGTGGGGAGGGGGTGTGAGGTGGGGTGAGTGGGGTAAGGTGGGAGGGTGAGGTGGATAGTGCGAGGTGGGTGGTGTGAATTGGATGATGTGGTAGGTGGAGTGAGTTGTGGGAGTTGTGTTAGTTGTGCGGTGACTTGTGGGAGGTGTATGGTGTGATAAATATCAATAGGTGGACGTTGACAATTTTCATGGGGGGTGGGGGTGAAAGTAAAGTTTATGATTTGAAGGCGAAGCATGTTTCTGTTACATTACTGCTATAAACAGAAGAGGCCCCACACAATTAGATCGGTGAAGGCCACACCTCCATCTATCCACAACTCAATCCCTCACATCGGCGGTACTAGTTGTATGTAACATGTTTGAATTGCACTGTAGTTCTACACAAGTTAGGTCCCATTTAAAGCCGAATGACAACTTATGGTTTTATAATATCTCCGTGTAACCAGTATTCGAACCCTCAACTTTCCGGTCTTTACTCTCGTTTACACCAGCACACCGTCTATTAATATATACTTTGAACTGTCATGTCGAGACGCTAAAACACGTCGATGTCCCCGCACTGTAGATGAACGTCCACAAGTTCGTCAAGCGCATGTGATCGACTTATGATTTTATAATATCTCCGTGTAACCAGTACTCGAACCCTCAACTTTCCGGTCTTTACTCTCGTTTACACCAGCACACCGTCTATTAATATATACTTTGAACTGTCATGTCGAGACGCTAAAACACGTCGATGTCCCCGCACTGTAGATGAACGTCCACAAGTTCGTCAAGCGCATGTGATCGACTTATGATTTTATAATATCTCCGTGTAACCAGTACTCGAACCCTCAACTTTCCGGTCTTTACTCTCGTTTACACCAGCACACCGTCTATTAATATATACTTTGAACTGTCATGTCGAGACGCTAAAACACGTCGATGTCCCCGCACTGTAGATGAACGTCCACAAGTTCGTCAAGCGCATGAGAGAGTCGCGCCCGTTTATGGTGCGCACACTGAGCCAGTACAAGTTTATCTACGAGTGTCTTCTGGAGGAGTTTCAGGCGGGGGACACCATGCTGGGGCTGGACCTCAAGGACAAGTACCTGGCTCTGTGCCAGAGGAACCCGCAGTCTGGTCAGTAGGGTCTCGTGAGCTGGACTTTTGTAGAGCTGGTTTGGTGGGAGGGGGTGTAGGGGGGAGGGTCAGTAAGGGTATTTTTGTTTAGGGGAGAGCCAGAGTGTATAGGGGAGGGTCAGTTATGTGAATGGGAGGATCATTTTTGTGAAGTGTAGGATCGGTTGTGTTTAGGGTCATTTTTTGAGAAGAGGAGGGTCGGTTTGTGGTTAGGGGAGAATCACTTATGTGAGTAGGAGGTGGGTCATTTATGTGTAGTGGATAGTGTTTCTTCCCCCCCCCCCCCCTGGAGAGTCTACCGCCCACCCCCCCCCCCCCCTCCCCGAAAGAATTGGGTTCCATATAGAAACCCCGGAAATTTTAGTCCGCCCCCCTTCTCCGAAAATTTCAAGTGTCGCCCCCCCCCCCTCGAACGAAATGGAATTTATATAGAAAATATACTTTTAACAGTGTCCGCCCTCCCCCGGACAAATTTTCAAGTGCCCCCCCCCCCCCTCCCCTCGGAGAAAAAAAAGTCTGGAAGAAACACTGGTAGGGGAGGGTCTGTTGTGTGTAGGGTAAGGTCTGTGATTTTTTAACCTTAACTATGAACCTATTGTTTTCTGTGCTATTTTAACCCTAACCCTGAACCCTTGTCGTACCAGACGGGACCTACCTAATGGACCAGTTCAAGATGCTGTGTCGGTTCACGCCCAAACTCCTCGCCCAGCTGTGTACCGTGGCCCTCTCTAAGGAAGTGAGATGTAAAATTATTCTTAACTTTGACCAATTCACTAACATAGTTTTTTTTAATTTAAAATTATTTAAAAAGAAATATTTTTCAGTAGCCAAAATACGTTTAGTATTTTAAATACTTATGGCATGTTAAAAAATATTAGAACAGTTTAAAGTTGAGATAAAACAAGATTTCATCAAGGATAAGATGGCAGATTAATGTGTATGTATGTAATGATTCTATTAGACTAGTCTGAGCTTTATTGGGAACCTTATTGTTGGAAGTCATAATTCTGCGTGTAGCTGATCTCGCTGGGTAGATTTACCTAGAGCCCTAGTCAGTTATCTTTTTCATGACGTCACACAATAATACAATGGTCAGTTAACTTTTCCTTGACGTCATGGACAGTGGTCAGCTGTCTAGAATAGTTTTGATAGGCTGATTAAATTTAAAAAAAAAACGTCTGCACCAAGTGAGTGGATATTTCAGCACCAAATCTTGCATAATGTTATAATAAAGGCTCTGCTTTGTTTACAAGATACGCTGTATTTACTTCAGCACTCGTCTAACTAAAATCCTGAAAAATATAGAGCTGTTTATTTGTCAAATTTTGTTTTAGATTTTTTTAAAATGGATTTTAAAATGAAAACGTTCAGAGCTTTAACGCTGATATTTGGTTTTAGAACAAGCAAAGAAACGTTGACCAGCGAATTGTCCCCCCTGACCTGTTCCTACCTGTCATATCGACCAAAAGTAAGTCACCATGTGTACACGTGTCTCTGTAGAATACAGGTGTAAATGTGAACATGACGCCAGGTAAGTTGATCTCATACACAGGTGTACCCATATGCTCTACTAGTGCATGATTTCAACCAATGAAAAGAGAGATTTTGGTCAGGTGATACCCCCTCCCCACTTTACAATTTTAATCATACCATTGGAAGACTGATGAGCACGCCATTTTCTGACCAATCAAATGGGTCATTTCTGTAACAGACGATTGGTCCTCATTAAATCATACTCAAATAACTTTTTACATTAGGTGACCCCTGACCCCTCCCCCCAATTCTAAGCAATAGAATTAGTTCCTCACATCAGGTGACCCCCCCTTCCTCCAATACTTAGCAATATCATGTGACCCCTCCCCTCTTTCCGTTAGGTGACCCCCACCCTAACCAATAGAATTGTCTCTTTCCGTTAGGTGACCCCCACCCTAACCAATAGAATTGTCTCTTCCCGTCAGGTGACCCAACCCTCAGCTCGTACATTAACGCCGTGTTCATCAACGGCCACCGGCGGAGGAACGAATTCATCCTGACCCAAACACCTCTCACCAACACGGTCTTCGAGTTCTGGAAGATGATCTACGATTACCAGGTAGGATCAATAATCAATCACATATCGATCAGGTGGCAGGATCAATAGTCAATCACATATCGATCATGTGGCAGGATCAATAGTCAATCACTTATCGATCATGTGGCAGGATCAATAGTTAATCACATATCGATCATGTGGCAGGATCAATAGTCAATCACATATCGATCAGGTGGCAGGATCAATAGTCAATCACATATCGATCATGTGGCAGGATCAATAGTCAATCACTTTATTATGTATGGTATACGTCACATTATACGTCGCATGTATGGTATACGTCACATGTATGGTATACATCACATGTATGGTAAACGTAATATGTTATACGTCACATTATGTTATACGTCACTAGCGTAAAACCTTACAGGTACAATCCATCGTCATGTTTGGAGACTGCAATGGCATGAACCAAGAGAAATATTTCCCGACTTCCGGAGGGCGGTACTTCGGTTCCGTCCTGGTAGAGCACGTCAACACGGCCAAGGCGGAGTCGATCACAGTCCGGAACATGAAGATTAGCTGCATCAACTTCACGGGCATGGAGAGAATGGCGCTACGACATGTAGGTGGTGGGGTGGGGGGGATACGACATGTAGGTGGTGGGGTGGGGGGGCGATACGACATGTAGGTGGTGGGGGGGTGGAGATGGGGGGCGATACGACATGTAGGTGGTGGTGGGGGGGGGGGCGATCGATAACACATGTAGGGGGTGGTGGGGGCGATACGACATGTAGGTGATGGTGGGGGGGGGGGACGATACGACATGTAGGTGGTGGGGGGGGGGGGGCGATACGACATGTAGGTGATAGGGGGGGGGGGGGGCGATACGACATGTAGGTGATAGGGGGGCGATACGACATGTAGGTGATAGGGGGGGGGCGATACGACATGGAGGTGGTGGGGAGGGGGAGGGGGGCGATACGACATGGGGGTGGTGGGATGTGGGGGCGCTACGACAATAAGGTGATATCTGTGAGGGAGGGCTGGGTTGAAGTGCGCTCAGACATGTAGGTGATATCTGGGAGGGTGGGGGGGGGGGGGGGAGGAGCTGGAGAGAAGGGCGCTACAAAATGTAAGTGATGTCGGGGGGGGTGTGAGTTTCTTTCAGGCATCTATGACCCGGAGCACGACCACTGCTCTACCCCCCCCCCCCCCTCAAACGTAAAAGAATATATATTTTTATATAGACGTACATTCTTCAACCATTGCCCCCCCCCTCCGATGTTTCAAGTGCCCCCTCTTCTCCCCCAAAAGTGTTTACTTGTATGCTGTATGTGGGCATGGAGTATGGATGCATGTTTGTCCAAACCGTTGTTTTCTATGTTGGAATTACAGAATGGTTATGGTTTTAACCGATCCAGTTTCAGATTAAGAAATGGGGCGAGACCCAGAGGTCGTCCAAGGGGTCAGCAGATATCGTGGCCAGCAGTAACTATGACATGCTGATGTTGATGGACCTAGTCAAGGAATGGCAGACGATAGCTAACAGGTTACTGCCGATTTTAACTCAACGCTCATATTTAGATTGACGTTGAATTTTTTAAATTTCTGATTAAGTTCGCCTTTAAATTAGTGATTGTTAATTAGTGATTGTTTACGTTGTGTTGCCAAAACAGGAGGTCAAGGCCAGTCGTGGTCGTCTGCAGTGACGGAGCCAGGCTTTCCGGTCTGTTTGTGACATGCGCAGTGGTGTGCGAGAAAATGCGAGAAGAGAAGGAGGTGGATTTGTACCACACCGTCAAACACATCAAGCGCAGGAGGCCTCAGATCATTTCAGATTTTGTATGTTTTTTGTTGGCTGTTTTTTTTTGTTTGATTAAAAAACTTCACGGGGTAAAGTGAAGTTTCAAACCTGACGGTCTATAGGGCAAGTGTAGTAGAATTCACTTGTTTCTGTGACCTCGACATATGAAGGGATACTGTGGTCAGCACTTTGCCCAGCCGCCTTTACTTTCCGTAACGTGAGTTAGGTACCCATCAGAGCTGGATGGACTCAGGGACGGTCTACTGACTTGAACCCGGATTCGAACTCGAGACTTAGGGGTTAGCAGTCCAGCAGCTCTCTAACACTAGACCACTCCGTCCCCTAGCTGAGAGGGTACTGTGATGTAAATATTAAAGTACCAACTATTGAACTCCACCAACAGCTGTTGTAACTGTCCTATAAACAGTGGTTGTAACGTGAACTCTAACCCTAGCTAGAATCCTAAAGATAGAGCTCAAAATTACAGAAGGGGTCGTCCGTAAATGACGTCACATTTCTAACGGGAAGCGGGAGGGGTTTAGGCTTTAGTGACGAAATGTCGAAATGTGACAACGGAATGGGGGGAGGGGGGGGGGAGGGAGCGGGTTATAAGTAAGTATGACGTCATATGTTCGCATTTTTTTGTACAGAGTATTTGCTGTTATTTTGCATCTTTAATCAAACTCGATGGATATTTAACCCCACCACCTCACTAAGATAACGGTGCAAAAAAAAAAAAAATCAATTTGGAATCTTGTGTATGGCTGAAGTGCCAAGTTATTTAAAAAAATTTCACTTCTGATAATTTGTGACGATGGGGGAGATGAGGGTGGGGGTTAAAAATTGTCAAATAAAAACAACGTAAGGTCGTTTATGGACAACCCTTAATTTAAATCACGCTTGCATTAAAAGTGTTTATTTTTAGATGCAGGCTAGAGAAAAACTTGTACTGAGTATTAAGTTGTGCCAGTTGTTTATGGTAGAATGTCTCAATGATGTTTATTTACCAGATTCTGGAATTTTGAACTATTTTTGTTTGTTTGTTTATGAAGTGGTCATGTTTTGGTTAAATATACATCTACAATGGTAAGGTTTTACTTACCTGTTCATCTGTTCATGTCACGTGGTCTAATGACGTATACAATGTTTTGAATGTCCAGGACCAGTACAGGTTTCTGCATCAAGTCTTGTGGGAATTTATGCTCAAGTCTGGTCTGTCGTCTGAGGGCAGGATGTCCGGGGACTTTACACATGGTCAGTTGGGTTAGGGTTAAGTTCAAGGTCAAGTCTGGTCTGTCGTCTGAGGGCCGAATGTACGGGGACTTTACACATGGTCAGTTGGGTTAGGGTTAAGTTCAAGGTCAAGTCTGGTCTGTCGTCTGCGGGCAGAATGTCCGGGGACTTTACACATGGTCAGTTGGGTTAGGGTTAAGGTCAAGGTCAAGTCTGGTCTGTCGTCTGAGAGCAGAATGTCTGGGGACTTTACACATGGTCAGTTGGGTTAGGGTTAAGGTCAAGTCTGGTCTGTCGTCTGAGGGCAGGATGTCCGGGGACTTTACACATGGTCAGTTGGGTTAGGGTTAAGTTCAAGGTCAAGTCTCCCCTGGTATCTGAGGGCAGAAGGTTTGCGGACTTTACACATGGTCAGTTGGGTTAGGGTTAAGTTCAAGGTCGTCTGGTCTGTCGTCTGAGGGCCGAATGTCCGGGGACTTTACACATGGTCAGTTGGGTTAGGGTTAAGTTCAAGGTCGTCTGGTCTGTCGTCTGAGGGCCGAATGTCCGGGGACTTTACACATGGTCAGTTGGGTTAGGGTTAAGTTCAAGGTCAAGTCTGGTCTGTCGTCTGAGGGCAGAATGTCCGGGGACTTTACACATGGTCAGTTGGGTTAGGGTTAAGTTCAAGGTCAAGTCTGGTCTGTCGTCTGAGGGCCGAATGTACGGGGACTTTACACATGGTCAGTTGGGTTAGGGTTAAGTTCAAGGTCAAGTCTGGTCTGTCGTCTGCGGGCAGAATGTCCGGGGACTTTACACATGGTCAGTTGGGTTAGGGTTAAGGTCAAGGTCAAGTCTGGTCTGTCGTCTGAGAGCAGAATGTCTGGGGACTTTACACATGGTCAGTTGGGTTAGGGTTAAGGTCAAGTCTGGTCTGTCGTCTGAGGGCAGGATGTCCGGGGACTTTACACATGGTCAGTTGGGTTAGGGTTAAGTTCAAGGTCAAGTCTCCCCTGGTATCTGAGGGCAGAAGGTTTGCGGACTTTACACATGGTCAGTTGGGTTAGGGTTAAGTTCAAGGTCGTCTGGTCTGTCGTCTGAGGGCCGAATGTCCGGGGACTTTACACATGGTCAGTTGGGTTAGGGTTAAGTTCAAGGTCGTCTGGTCTGTCGTCTGAGGGCCGAATGTCCGGGGACTTTACACATGGTCAGTTGGGTTAGGGTTAAGTTCAAGGTCAAGTCTCCCCTGGTATCTGAGGGCAGAAGGTTTGCGGACTTTACACATGGTTAGTTGGGTTAGGGTTAAGGTCAAGTCTCCCCTGGTATCTGAGGGCAGAAGGTTTGCGGACTTTAGGGTTAGGATTAAGGTCACTGTCAAGGCTCGCATTAATAACTGTTGTTTACTCTGTAGTCGAGCCTCAGGACTATAGTGAAGAAGAGAACGACGAGCAAGTGGAGGCGGGGCTTGGGCGATTCGATGACGACACGGAGACGACGGAGGTGTTCTATGACCAGGAGCAGAACCCAGAGCACCCCGGGCTGGGGGAGCCCGACCTAGAGGAGCCCGACCTAGAGGAGCCCGACCTAAGGGAACCCGAGTTGTACCAGAATTCCATGCGCGCGTTTCGTTCATTCATCGAGAAGGAGCCAGATGAGGCGGAACCGTTGGACGGCCAGATGGACGGCGAGATGGACGGCGAGCTAGACGGCCAGCTGGACGGCCAGCTAGAAGACCCACTGGAGGTGGATGAGTTCTGCTCTTATTTCCCCCGCCGGTCGCAAAAGTACCGGATGTCAAACCCTAGGGACGAAGACGAAGAGCTGGATGATCTATTTGAAGAGAAGTACCTAACGCTGCTGGACGCCATCCGGCCCAGGGGCGACTCCAAAACGAGGCAGTTCTACGAGATGAACAAGGAGCTGTACCGGAGGAATCAGCGTAAACCGAGGTCGCGACGAGCGTCCTTGTCGTCCGGGAGGAGGTCGAGCGACGAGGTCAAGGTCAACTTGAACTCCAAGATCCGAGATCGGGACTCCCCCAGGGGTACGGTGGAGCTGGCCCCGGTGTACAGCTCAACGCCCGTCTCCCCCAGCAGCCGACACTCGTCACGGTGGGCGGGGCTGAAGGAACAGGTCAGCCGGCCGCAGAGGGCGGCGTTCAACTCCAACCGGGAGTCGAAATCAGACGGGGAGATGATGTCGCCGAGGAGGAGATCGGTGAGAAAGAAATCGTTCATGTCGAGAGAAGACATTTTGAGCCTGCTGGCGAGGGAGGGGTTTGGGAGCAGGAGGGGCTCAAAGTCTCGCGCCGCCAGCCAGAGGGCGACGCCCCGCGGATCGAAACAGCTAGAACGGCCGTCACTGGAAGAGGCCTGGCTCAACGCGTCCCAACCTGCTCGGGCGAAGCGGAGTTTCGACGCGGGCAGTCCGAGGATCGAGTCTCACCCGAGGATCGAGTCCCACCCGAGGATCGAATCCCACCCGAGGATCGAGTCCCACCCGAGGGTCGAGTCCCACCCGAGGGTCGAGTCCCACCCGAGGATCGAGTCCCGACCGAGGATCGAATCCCACCCGAGGATCGAATCCCACCCGAGGATCGAGTCCCACCCGAGGATCGAGTCCCGACCGAGGATCGAATCCCACCCGAGGATCGAGTCCATCCCGGATGAAGTTGAAGACGACGGCGACGATTATGTCCAGGAAGTGAAGCGGCGCAGCAGTTCGGTGAGCAGAAAAAATTCGAACACGTTTTCACCTTCCGGTCCAAGCGTGCCCGGCATGCAGGGTGAAGGTCACGCGGGCAGACAGACCCCGGCCGCCAGAACCAGCCAGGGCATCCTGTCCGGCAAAAGTTTCTCGGCGTCTGGCCTTGACCCCAACAACGGTTTTCAGCCGAGAGGTCAGAAAGGTCTTCGAAGGTCACGCGTGTCTTTCGACACCGAGAACAAGAGGGTGTGGTCAAGAGGTCAGTCCCCAAAACCAAGCAGGATACAAATATCCAGCACGCTACATGGGCAGAAGAGTCCATTTTTCGAAGAAGTACCGGAAGTAAAGGATCAGTCAGGTCCGAATTCCAGAACAGCCATCAACAGGCAGCGGTCAGCGTCCAGCTCACGAGCGATTAGAAGGGAGGATAACTCGGTGTACGGCATTGAAGCGGGAAGCTACTCCGATAGAAGGATCTCGCAGGAAGGACGACGCAAAGAGAGTTTGGTGTTCAAGGACACGGCAACCGAGGTCTTTGAGTCGGGATTGGACGAGAGGAGGAAGGAGGGCGGGGCATCTTTGATGAAGCAGAAGTCTTCGACCCAGAAACTGTCATCGCCAGACAAGACAAAGTCACCGGGCTCGAAGTCGCCGAGGTATTTGGAGATTCCCCTAGAGTACCAGGAGCTTCTGGGTGGTATCCCTCGTCGTAGGCAGCAGCAGCAGCCGTCAGCACAGGACTCGAGACACGGTAGGTCATTAGTCAGCTAGAGGCTGTAGCAATATGTGCAGCTAGAGGCTGTAGCAATATGTGCAGCTAGTGGCTGCAGCTAGAGACTGTAGCTAGAGGCTGTAGCAATATGTGCAGCTAAAGGCTGTAGCTAAAGACTGTAGCTAGTTGCTGCAGCTAGAGGCTGTAGCTAGAGGCTGTAGCTAGAGGCTGTAGTCATATGTGCAGCTAGAGGCTGTAGCTAAAGAGTGTGGTTATATATGCAGCTAGAGGCTGTAGCAATATGTGCAGCTAGAGGCTGTAGTAATATGTGCAGCTAGAGGCTGTAGCTAGAGGCTGTAGCAATATGTGCAGCTAGAGGCTGTAGTAATATGTGCAGCTAGAGGCTGTAGCTAGAGGCTGTAGTAATATGTGCAGCTAGATGCTGTAGCTAGAGGCTGTAGCAATATGTGCAGCTAGAGGCTGTAGTAATATGTGCAGCTAGAGGCTGTAGTAATATGTGCAGCTAGAGGCTGTAGCTAGAGGCTGTAGTAATATGTGCAGCTAGATGCTGTAGCTAGAGGCTGTAGCAATATGTGCAGCTAGAGGCTGTAGCAATATGTGCAGCTAGAGGCTGTAGCTAGAGGCTGTAGCAATATGTGCAGCTAGAGGCTGTAGCTAAAGACTGGCGATATATGCAGCTAGATGATGTAGCTAAAGACTAGCTAGAGACTGTAGCTAGAGGCTGTAGTAATATTCAGCTAGACTGTAGCAATATAGGCAGCTAGACACTGTAGATAGATGCTGTAGCTATATATGCAGCTAGAGACTGTAGCATTATATGCAGCTAGAGGCTGTAGCTATATATGCAGCTAGAGACTAGCATTATATGCAGCTAGAGGCTGTAGCTATGTATGCAGCTGTAGCTAGAGGTTGTAGCAATATGTACAACTAAAGACTTGTAAAGCTATGAATATATAAGCATTATATAAAGTCATACACAAACAAGAATGTATTTGTTAGATATGACAGCGACGTTTCAAAATGTTAGAAAGTACGCTACACCTACGATAATCACAATCTGAGATGCCTTGACATTTGTTTTGACTGATCCAACTTTGACCCATGACCTTGACCCAAGTTTTAATGCAAGTTGTGGTCCGCAGGTCAAGGTGACAACTCACCTCCCTTTGTTTACACCGGTATGATGAGAGAGTTATCTGTCCATGATGACGACAGGTAGGGCCTACGTCACTAAACTACGTCACTAGCAAACTTTTTTTTCTGCTAGCCGCTACATCCGACTTTATCATGAATTTGCTGTCGTCTAATTAATTATAATATAGTCTGACATCTATTTTATGAAAGAAATTTATTACTTTTACCTTTTCTAAATGTGTTCTACTTTGCGGTTACTGTATGTATTTGGGCCCTAGTTCGGGTCCCGGGTTCGACTCTGTAAGACGTCCTTGAGTCCACCCAGCTCTGATGAGTACCTGACTCACATTTGGAAAACAAATGCGGTTAGGCATAGTGCTGACCACACCATCCCCTTGTATGCCTAGGTCATTAAAACAGTGGAACTCTACTTCATCTACCCTATGTGTCTTGGGAACGAACGGGAAAAGATAATGATAGTATCTATTTAGGCTTCATCCACTTTAGTAGATGTACATTCATTTATATAGGCCCAACCTAAACAATTGTTCCTTTTTATAACTAAACAATTACTTCTCTATAAACCAAAACAATTATTCTTGTATTTAACAAATGCCACCTCCCTCCCCCACCCCACAGACAGCCCAACGAAAAGCTGTCCCCCACGCGATCCGTCACCACACAGCCGAAAACCCCCACACCCATCCGGTCGGCGTCATCCAACTTACGGCCCCAGACACGGGACGGTGGGTGGCGGTCGCCGCCCAAATGTCCACCGGTGGGTTCAATGACCTCCAGCCCGCCTGGCTCCCCCAGGAGAGAGTCGTACAGGCCGAGCTCACCCATGAGGAACCAGAGGCTGACCGCGTGCACCCCACTGCATGACCCGTGAGTCCACGCCTCTGTGCATTATGTCTGTCTTCATTAACCCTTGAGTTTATGTCTGTCTTCATTAACCTCTGGGTCAATGTCTGTCTTCATTAACCCCTGGGTCAATGTCTGTCTTCATTAACCCTTGAGTCAATGTCTGTTTTCATTAACCCTTGAGTTTATGTCTGTCTTCATTAACCCTTGAGTCAATGTCTGTTTTCATTAACCCTTGAGTTTATGTCTGTCTTCATTAGCCCTTGAGTCAATGTCTGTCTTCATTAACCCCTGGGTCAATGTCTGTCTTCATTAACCCTTGAGTTTATGTCTGTCTTCATTAGCCCTTGAGTCAATGTCTGTCTTCATTAACCCTTGAGTTTATGTCTGTCTTCATTAACCCCTGGGTCAATGTCTGTCTTTCTTAACCCGTTTATTGCCTAAATCAAGTCAATTATCTTAAACAATCTCTGTTATCTCGACATTTCTTGTTAGCAATACAAAAATTACTTTGATCTATAATTGATCAGACCAGCCTACCGTCTCAATTAAAAATAAATTATTGCTTGTCCAGTTAGGGCCGTTGTGTCTTCTTTAGACTTGGTCTACAGACACTGGGTGTACGTGATGGTCACTTGTCTCCTGGCGTGTTTCAGGTGTGCTACAAGCGGCGATGGTCACCCACTGGTCAGTCGGCCGGACATCAGAGCTGGGGGTCAGCCTGAGCCACGTGACGGTTCGGACAACAGCACCACAGCCAACTCGTTTGACGACAGCAGCACCTCGGAGTATGACGTCTGCCTCATGTAGATGGGGGTGGGGGAAGGGGGGGTTTGTTCACTTGTCTCATTTAGCCCGGTCACGTGATTAGTAAGGCAGACTATGTGAAAGTGGTGTGTGCGGGTGTGTATGTTGAGAGTGTATGTAAGTGTATGTAAATGTGTACTTTTGATTACGTGCCCGTGAGAGAAAGTTGTGTAATTCACATGATTTTCAAAATTTTGATTTTAAAAAAAATTAAAATCTTGGTTTTGCAGCTTGAGTTGATCTTGTCAGTCCCAGCTTTTTAAACTTGTGAGCTACAGGCAATCTTTACTTGAGTGTTTTGGTTTTACTCCATGACCTAAATTCATAACTCAACAGTTTAAAAAAATAGATTTATTTTTCAAATATTTAAAAATTAAGAACAGAAGATCATCTAATCTAACTAATCAAACATGTGAAACCAGTCATCATCACACATCAACAACAGTAAACAACTCGCAGCGAGCATGTGAAAAATCAGGTACTGGTCAGGTAAGTGGTCAAGTGGTGCCCTAATGTACACTTCAGTCTGTCCGCAGCAGCCCATGAATTGTTCCCCATCAGAAACTGATCACACTTTTTAGAAAACAAAAAAAATCTCAACATTTTCAAGTCAACGATTTACACACAGAAATGGTTGAAGTGTTGTGTGTAATTAAAAATTAACATGAAATGTATGCAGTCTCTAAACTCACCATGCACAAAACAGCACTGATATTTCTTCCATCTACTCATGACATTTATTTCATAAAGATATATAGGAACTAATTCATATAACAAATATGTTGTACCACCTATATCTACTTCATAAAAGAAAAAAAAAACTGGTACATTTTAGTACCAATACATAAGTGGGTTCTCAGTTTAAATTATTTTAAGAATATGAAATGTAAAGTATAAAATCTTAGTGTTTTAATAAAAAAAAAATGTAGTGTAGTTATTGTCTACACAAAAGTGACACCCCTCATTTTAATGCATGGTATTTTACAAATTTTAAATTTAGTAATTAAAACAACCAACCTTCAAGTATATGTCAAAGAAAAGAAGTAAAAAAAAAATAATCTTCAACATGCACATGAAGAAGAAAATTATTCAAATAACATTAAAAAAATTTTTTTTTAAAAATTATTTTAGTAGTTTTAAAATTATTATTTTTCAAAGACCTTTCTTCAAATTTGAGTTACTGCACTTTCTTTACATTTACTGCACTGTCTAGACAGTTACTGCACTGTCTTGAGATTCCTAAGGGTCAAGTTAACAATGGACATGACTAGGTCATAATTACTTAACACAGTCACACCTCCACATCTCCACAATTCAACATTCAGATGCCCATGACTTTATAGAAAGGCTTGTACAAATCAAACAAATATAATACATCATAATTTAAAAAATTAAAAAATCATGAAGAGTTGTGGTTCTTCAATACAAGTATAAAAAAAATATCTTAATTATATGTTCATACTTTTAAATGCCATTAGAAAAAAAAAATGTTGAAAATAAAACAGAAATGCAAAAATCTGTCTAAGACGTGGTGAAACAAAACATAATTTATCAGTGAGGCATCTTGACAATGGTGACAGGGACCTTGGCATTACGGACCACAGAGGTGCTCACACTGCCCACAAAGACCCGCTGGATGGTACCCATGTCGCGGGTCCCCATAAAGATCTGGTCCACTTTCTCCTCGTCCGCTGCCTGCAGAATGGCCTCGTCTGGCTTCATGCCGGACTTGATCACAATGTAGCCTTTGATGCCTGGAGGTGGTAGATTATTTCACGGTTACTTCCCTTACACAGTGTTGGAAATGATAGCATTCGATAATTTATATATTTAAAAAAAAAATCGTTCATTTTCAATAAATTATTCTCCTTTTTAAATAGGAAGTATGTATATATACAAAATAGCGAGTTTTCATTTCAACTTATCTTTAAAAGTTGTGTGCAATTTTATCAGTTTTTAAAATCACGATTTTACGGTTAAATATGATGTTGCGTTAAAGGGAATTAACCATGAAAGTTTTAAAATGTATTTTTAATAATTTCATGTTTACTTCCCTTTGAAAGGTCTATGCACTATAATTAGCGTTTCTTTTATGATAAAGGGAACTAAACGTGAAAATATTAAAATACATTAAAATAATTGTATGGTTACTTCCTTTTGTTTCTGTTATGGTAATTTCATGGTTATTTCCCTTAGACCGTTAAATTAGTAATCGCTCAGCCCTTTCCCCTAAAAACTGATTTACAATAATTTACATTAGTTTCTCTGTTCAAGTAACTTGATTTATTACTTCCCTCAGCAGCAAGCTTTGTACAATGAAAATCGACAGCAACCATAATTTTTGACAATTCCAATTTTTTCACCCCCACCCTTTAGATTTCAACCTACGGACCATAAGGTATAAACCTACTACCAGTGGCGAAGCAAGGTCGGCTGTCACACGGTGTGGCACTTAATGGTGTCACCCCCCCCCCCCGAGGCGCAGCGACCCTTCCCGGGGACAAATTTTCGATTTGCAGCCCCCCCCCCCCCCCCAAACTTTCGATTCGCACCCCCCTCTAACTTTCGATTTGCACCCCCCCCCCTCAAAGTTTTCTCTATATATTTTGCTATTTTTTGCCTTGGCGACACCCCCCTAAATGGTGTCACCCAGTGCGGTCCGCACCCCCGCCCCCTCGCTACGCCTCTGCCTACTACTGACATTTAGATTGGAACCTACTGATATTAAGATTTTAACTGACCATTACATTTGAAGCAACTGACCTTTAGATTTGAACCAACTGACCTTTAGATTTGAACCCACTGACCTTTATATTTGAACCCACTGACCTTTATATTTGACCCAACTGACCTTTAGATTTGACCCACTGACCTTTAGATTTGAACCTACTGACCTTTAGATTTGAACCTACTGACCTTTAGATTTGACCCACTGACCTTTAGATTTGAACCTACTGACCTTTAGATTTGAACCTACTGACCTTTAGATTTGACCCACTGACCTTTAGATTTGAACCTACTGACCTTTAGATTTGACCCACTGACCTTTAGATTTGAACCTACTGACCTTTAGATTTGAACCTACTGACCTTTAGATTTGACCCACTGACCTTTAGACCTGAACCTACTGACCTTTAGATTTGAACCTACTGACCTTTAGATTTGACCCAACTGACCTTTAGATTTAAACCTACTGACACTAAAATTTGAGCCAACTGACCTTTAGATTTGGACCAACTGACCTTTAGATTTGAACCCACTGACCTTTATATTTGACCCACTGACCTTTAGATTTGAGCACCTCGTTAGCACTGCAGGTGATCTGGTCAGCTTTCTTGACGGCCTCCTGCACCTGTTTGCTGACACTGTCCACGTTGACGGCCGCACCAGGCAGGGCCACCCCAAGCTGGAACTGGGAGCAGTGGAAGATCACCACCTGGTCATCTGGCCTGAGAACAGACAGGTTCAATTAACAACATGTGAGCTAGTCCTCGGTGGAGCAGGTGAAGTAGAGTTGCTGTGTTAATTATAGATTTTTTTTTCTGTTTTAGCTATGTGTAAATATTAAATGTAATTTTTTGTTCTTATATTATAGTCTACGTCTTTTTTTGTTCTTATATTTTAATAGTTTTCATCATTTTTGTTCTTATATTATAGTTTACGTCATTTTTTGTTCTTATATTTTAATAGTTTTCATCATTTTTGTTCTTATATTATAGTTTACGTCATTTTTTGTTCTTATATTATAGTTTACGTCATTTTTTGTTCTTATATTCTAGTTTACGTCATTTTTTGTTCTTATATTATAGTCTAACATACAGAGTCTACAATATTTATAACAGTTATCCATATATTAGATTATAACAGCACTGCTTATTAAAAAGTAAATTGTATTGTACCTTTCACTTCTAACTGTAATAGTTAAATTTTCTCACAGGTATGTATGTAAGGTTTTCTTTGTCAAGGTCACTGTCTCCTACCTTATTTATATACAGCAGTTTATTATTAAAACAATTGATGGTTTAAAAAAAATCAAATTTACCTGTAGAAGTTCTGCAGGTACCAATTAAAAGCATAATTAGCTTGTTCATTACCATCCAGAGCTAACAGGTGTTTTCTCATGGTTGAAAGCTACATGGAAAAAAAAGTTTTGGTAAAAAATAATGAGGACTAGGTCTAGGTCTTTATAAAATATCCTCAGTGAAGATGAGTTAGACATGTAGGTGGTCAAATAGTAATAGGTAGGAGGTGATAGCATGTATGTGATAGGTAGGAGGTGATTGGTAGGTAGGAACATGCAGGTGGTAGGCAGGTAGCAGCAAGCAGGTGCAGGTGTAAACAACAGGTGTGAAGTCTAGCAATGTTGGCCATCTAGTGACTGGAATACAGATGTGTCTAATATTCTCATCTCATAAAAAAAATTTGACTTCCAACATAAACATCGCTTTTACATCATCTTTATACAAACATCATCTCATCAGGCATTTTTTCCAGTCTACCAACGGTTAAAGGGGGCTAACCAATGCTTCAACTCGGTCTAATAGTATTTGTGCATTTATTTCCCTTTGAATTCGTTGTGATATTTACTACTACTCATTAATTAAAAAAAAGACAACTGATGTTACTAGCCTGATTAAAAAAAATGAATTACCACGAACAAAAAATGTTATTGTAACCGCTATTGTAACAACAATTAAACTATTTAGTTTGTAATTTGTATAGTCTTTACAGACCAAAAAAAAATATTAAAAATTAAAGTTAAATTTATATCAATTGGCAATCAATTGAAATGTAAGTACCCCCCCCCCCCCCCCCCCCCGGAAAGAACAATTAGATATAGTGATTCTATCAACCATGCCCATTAAAACAAAATTCGATGTTTATCTACAAGCATTTTCAGCCTTTGTCATGTGTCGTTATGTTTTGAAATCTCCCACCATACACATTTATAGCCTCCCCTCGGCTGACACACACGGCCGTCAGATGGCGCCAGTGGTAGGGCTATAATTAGAATTAACCTTATTGACAGTCCGAGTGCTGCCACATAGGGATGGCACTTTGCGGCTTTCCTTGTAGAGAATAGGGGGGGGGGTCTTCAATTAGGTTTCCTTATAGGAGCTCTCATATGTACTATGTAGAAAAGAGTTTAAAATACCCATAGATCAACACAAGATCCGGTGGGGCTTAAAAGGTTGAACGGATCGCAGCAGACGTTCCACATTTGAGTCACGCGATTGGTGTCTGGTTGTTAACACCATTGTCTGACGTCACAATAGTGTTTCTCCTAGACCAGGGGTCTCCAAACTTTTCAGTCCGAGGGCCGCATTAACTATCAAATTTCAGTTCGGGGGCCAGTTAGTTCCAAACATGTCTTTGATTTTTCTGGGCAAAAATCCTCAGCCATCACCAACAAACGTTTTTTTCCGAGGACAAAAAGATCGCCGCGGGCCGGATGAGAGGACCTCGCGGGCCGCATCCGGCCAGCGGGCCGTAGTTTGGAGACCCTTGTCCTAGACCTATTAGTTTAAAGTAATCATAAGGCTAGTGAAGATTAGCGCCAAAGTAACCACAAACATAAATAAATCATAATCTTTACAAAGAGAGCAACAAGAAAATAATAATCATGGCGAACGTTAGCACCAAGTCAATCATAATCCTAGTACAAAGGATAAACTTTGTACAAAGTAACCATAATCCTAGCAAGGTTAGCACCAAAGTAACCATAATCCTAGTAAGATTAGCACCAAAGTAACCATAATCCTAGCAAGATTAGCACCAAATTAACCATAATCCTAGCAAGGTTAGCACCAAAGTAACCATAATCCTAGCAAGATTAGCACCAAAGTAACCATAATCCTAGCAAGGTTAGCACCAAAGTAACCATAATCCTAGTAATATTAGCACCAAAGTAACCATAATCCTAGCAAGATTAGCACCAAATTAACCATAATCCTAGCAAGGTTAGCACCAAAGTAACCATAATCCTAGCAAGATTAGCACCAAAGTAACCATAATCCTAGCAAGGTTAGCACCAAAGTAACCATAATCCTAGCAAGATTAGCAACCTTTATCGACCAATACAACAGATGGGCCAACTAAATATTACACCATCATCCAAAAATCTTACCCCCTCTCCCCTCCACAGCCCCCTATGCGCGTTATAGGATATAGCATGACCCATGATAAACAAAAAACTATTCCTGTCCAACATTTTAAATTAACTTGCTAATTAAGGAACAAGAAATTAATAAAAATGAGGAAACGTAGACAGTACCGGGAATCAATACAATTTGTTAAAAATTATGCTAATGATGTCTAAAAATAGTCTCGTCTTTCAGTAACCCAGTATAGTACAATTATAATCCTAGTTGTTCACTTTGAATCGAATTAAAGTTTAAAATTGGACTCTAAAATGCAATAAAAGTTATACAAGAAAAATTAGGTTTCAAATATTTTATTTGTTTTCTTTCTATTTGAGCTGTCTTTATAGAAATGAATAACATAACAAAACGTCAGAGTAGATCTAAATCTAATTTTATATCAGCGTTAGTTTGGTGCAGTTATACGGGTGTAAAGGTGTAAGGTTGATTAAAAGAAAGAAAGAAAACTTAAAAAGAAAAGACCCAATTATACAGGAGACGTGGGTTAAACACGTTGACAGACGAGAGATGGCGAGAACAGACGTGGATTGATAAGAGAGGAGACGAGAGTTGGCGGGAATAAGGCTAGTGGGTTTAGTCGGTCACCGATATGTGTGTTTGTGGGTGCTTGTGTCTGTGTGTGTACATGTGCGTGTGTGCTTGTGCGTGTATAAGTGTAGATTTTGTACATATCCTTGTATGAGATACATTAGCGTAAAACGGGGAGAGGGAAGAATCGTGTAGCCGTAAATCAGACGTTTTCCAATCGTTACCCAAAATACCCCTAACCCTATGACCCGTGGGGGTAGGGCACGTTTAGCTTTGATTTTCCCCCCACCCCTCACGTTTTTTTTTAAATTACAGAACAATTTTCTACCACGACTTGCGTCATTCGTAGACTTGCTGGTCGGAAAATTTATGACACAATTATTACTGTCACATTGATTGCAATGTATGGATGAAATCTAGATCTATATAAATTTAGGACAGGAATGGAAGTGTATGCGAGTTATTAACATAAACATAATGTGTTCTGAACTATCCGACCCGACGCTCGTTGCGTAGTTAAACATACAGTGATAGCTAGTTGGGTCTAACTAAACTCAAGAATTCAAGGACAGCACTCATATGAAAACTACATAAATGCTTTTGTGACCGATACTAGTAGCATCCTGCTAGGGCGAGTGTTATAACGAATGTCTTAGTTTCCTAAACCATATGCTAGTAGCATATAAGAGACACCATTTTCTAATGAATGTATTGGTAGCATATTGCAGACCTAGTTTTGTAAAGAATGTCCTAGTTTCCTATACCCTATGCTAGTAGCATATAGCAGACTTAGTTTCGTAATGAATGTCTTGTTTTCCTATACCCTATGCTAGTAGCATATAGCAGACCTAGTTTTATAATGAATGTCCTAGTTTCCTATACCCTATGCTAGTAGCATATAGCAGATGAATGTCTTGTTTTCCTATACCCTAAGCTAGTAGCAATAGTGGCATATAGCCGACTTAGTTTTTGAAATGAAGGTCTTGTTTTCCTATATCCTATGCTAGTAGCATATAGCAGGCCTAGTTTTGTAATGAATGTACCACGTGAGACAATCAATACCCCCCCCTCGCGTTAAGAAGCCGTACGTCGTTGATGGACCTTCTAGAATAATCTAGAAACAAACCTAGAGTTCAATGATCCCATTGCGAGAGAGAAACGGGAGAGAGGATGGGGGAGGGAAGTAGAATTAGGGGTAGGAGAATATAATTGGGGGGGGGGGGGGGGGGGGGGAGTGGGACGTTTAGAATTAGCCGACGCAAAACGGTAGAGCACACCCCTCTCCTAGCCCTCGCCACACCCTCCAGAGAGGAGGATGGTGGTAGTATAGGTCCCGAATTAGTTAGCCACTGAATTATGGTTATGGTTAGCCGCTATAAAGACAGTGTACTACCGCTATAAAGACAGCCTATTACCGCTATAAAGACAGCCTAAAGTATACATAACATCGTGCGGCTAACCTAATTGCAGAGGCGTAGTGACCCTTCCCGGCGCCCGGGGACAAACTTTCGATTTGCACCCCTTTTCGAACTTTTCATTTGCACCCCCCCCCCCCCTCGAAATTTTCATTTGCACCCCCCTCAAGCTTTCGATTTGCACCCCCACCTCGAACTTTTCATTTGCAACCCCCCCCCCCTCAAAGTTTCGATTTGCCCCCCCCCCTCGAACTTTTCATTTGCACCCCCCCCCCTCAAACTTTTAATTTGGCGCCCCCACTAAGGTTGGCGCCCGGGGACATATGCCCCCCCCCCCTCGCTACGCCTCTGCCTAATTGTGTTGTGTTTAATCGCACCATAGTCTAGCTCGTCTGTGCTTGTATGGCCCTCTACTCCCCCCCCCCCCTTCCCGAGTGACATGACTTTACGTAACAATCTTAGACACTTAGTAACAGAGATTCGAACCCGACCTGCAGACTAGCACCAGCACGCTCTATCCCCTGGTGCCTGAACCCATGCCGGCACGTGACTAATTAACCTTGGGACGCCCGCTAAAGGTCACGGCAAGGTGGAAAAGGCAATAAAATAATTTGACGCATTACCGCCTCAATGTATCAGGCTGTAAAGTTGTCAACGTCATATGGCCGGCCGGAAGTGACGGTAGGCATAAAGATGGCGGCGACATTGTGGAGACGGGAAGGGGGGGTGTATGAGTAAAGTAGCATGTAAGTAAATGGGAGGGGGGGGGAAGTCGGGATTTAGCCCTGGTCGTCGTTATGTTAGGGCTACACTGAGTAGATGAAAGGGCTACACTGAGTAGATGAAAGGGCTACACGAGTAGATGAAAGGGCTACACTGAGTAGATGAAAGGGCTACACTGAGTAGATGAAAGGGCTACACTGAGTAGATGAAAGGGCTACACTGAGTAGATGAAAGGGCTACACTGAGTAGATGAAAGGGCTACACTGAGTAGATGAAAGGGCTACACGAGTAGATGAAAGGGCTA